TCTTGGTGATAAAAGAAACCAAAATTATATTAACTCGAAATTTTTACAGATCAAAACTTTCATTCTGCTAATCCGATAATTGATAAATATGAAAATCACCAGAGAGTCAAAGTAAATCAAATCAGTAGGCAGAATAACACATCTAATCATTTTAGCAGAAAAAAAAATCTTTTTCTTCTCACAGAGATTTCAGGTGATTTATATCTTAAGAGGACTAAGGAAGACTGTGGGTGGATGAATGGAGAGGGTGGTGGGTAAAAGGATGAGTACAGGATGATAAAGATTATCCAATTGCTCTTCCAATTCCAATTTCTTTTTCTTTTCCAAAATTTCATCTCAATCTCTTTCTCTGATCTTGTTATATAACAGGAGAAGGAAAAAAAGTGTTGTTCTTGTTTGGTGTCTTGTTGTGTAGAGAAGTGAAAAAAAAGAGATCAACACAAGATGAAAGATGATGAAGAAGAAAAGAAGATGAAGATGAAGAAGAGAATAGATAGAAAGTTATTCTCATGTTGACATTGTTACATAACATTTTCTAATTCTATTCTTACCCCTCATCTTTTCCTTCATCATGAAGCTTTTTCAAAGATTCATTCTCGAAACTAAATCAATGGATCCTAAAGATGAAAAAGAAAAAGAGAAAATTCTTCAATCATACATTCTTCTTCTTCTTCCTCATCATCATATTTTCTCCACTGAAAACTATTCTCACAGTCTTCTACACTTTATTCACCTTTTCACCTCTTCCATCTTCCTCATCATCAGCCACTTCCCAGTTAAAGAGCAAGACCTCACCCTTTTCTCACCCTTTCCTCTCTCATTCTCTTTATAAATTAATTAACATTCATCTTAACAGACTTTCTTTCAATAGGATAATAAGTTCATGATATCAAGTAATTTGTTCAACACTTAACTTTGATACTAATACTCAGGTTAACATAAAAAGTTTCGCAAGTTTCAAGATTGAATAACTAATAATAATTTGTAACCTTGAGTTAGCAAGATTTTGCTTCCTGTTTCTGAATAACTTTTCCATCAACATGAAACTGATAATGAACAAACTTAATAAAATAATAAACAAAAGGAACCATAATGAACCCCCCAGAATAGACTGAATAAATTTAGTGACACTGAACTTTTTTTTGTCATTCTTCAGACATTATTAGACTTTTGCATATAATGTTTACGTTAATGATGATGATTTGTATCATCATGAACCTTTGTTCATTATCTTTCATTTTATCAAAATAAAGAAAGAAAAAAACTCAACTTAGCTTTAATATCAAGGTTAGATACATGGATAGTATTCATAGTTAATTACAATTCATAATTAGTCATCTTCATTAAAGTATTAATATTGAACTAATACAACATATCAAAGCGATATGATGATGAAAGATTCATGAACATTTCCACTCTCGACAAGAATGAATTATTATGGGAAATCGTTTACGTCGCCCATGAATCCGGAAAATCAATTCATCCTTTTTTGTCACAAAATTGATTATCTATTGTTGTTATAACCTTTATATTAATACTTTGGTTTAAATTGTTATTGTTTATCATGGTGTTTAAAATTTGATTGTTCAGATGAAAACTTTGATTCCTGAAACACTGAATGTTATTGAGTTTTTTTTTGTTCAAAATTCAATCGATAACTGAATCGAGAAATAATGAAACATTCAGAATGAATTTTTTTTTTCTGTAACTTCCTTTCCATGCTTTTTCATTTCTCTCAACTCAGGGAGCAATTTTTTCATCTTTATCTCTATCATCATCATCATCATCATCTCAGGATGAAATATATATTCTATGTACCCTTTGCCTTGATGATGATCATTATCATTATGAAAACTGTGTGTGTGTTGGCTTGTTGTTACTCTTGAATTGCTTTTCTGTAGATGAGCTGAAATGATATGAGAAGTTGGGAACAATTTCCTTGGAATCAAAATAATTGGATGAATTTTCTGATAGGCTTAAGATTGATGGTTACCCTGTTATCTTTTTGATTATCCTCCATCTTTGTCTTTTCCATCTTCCTTTTGTCCCAACTATACAACTCAAGTGGCAAATTTATGATTTCAAATGATTAAAGGGACTGGGAGTGAGAAGAAGATAAAAAAATTCTGGATAAACGGAGTTACAGTTAAGGACACAAGTTGATTTGTTGAAGTAACTGGAAGAAAAAAGTGTTTGATGAGAAATAAATCACAAGAAAATGATTCCAATCCAATATTGTTGGCAATTAGTTAAATGTACCATCTCAATCTAATCATATCGAAGAAATTTATTATCAATAATCAATTGCTACAAATTCCATCTCTTATTAATTAAACAAAATTGGTAAAGTTTCACATCTTTACTGATCAAATTCAAATGCCAAGATATCAGAAAAGTATACAACCAATAGGAACTAAATTGAATCACATGAAAAGTTGAGTATTTTTTTGCACTACTTTGTATCATTTTACATTGTGTGTCTATGATAAATGATTGTTATCATGATATTTATCCCCTTACTCCCTCCTACTATTATTATCATCATCATTCATTAGGTGAACCGTGATTCCTTCATCATCTCTCCAAAGATGGAGATAAATATTTCCTTTTAACAATGTTATATACATTTAAGATGAAATGTCAACCCAAAGACGAAGTAGATAAAGAAGTGACTGGGACTTGAACATATCATCAAATTGATCAAAATTGATTAACTTTACTTGTTACTGACCAGTGGAAAAAGATTACAGAAAAGTAATCATTTTCGTCTTTATATTCCTCCTTCATATCATCATCATTATTATTATCCTTTTATCATCACTAACATTGTAATCTACAAATGATGATATGAATTATGAAACATAATAGATAAGCAATAATCTTGCAAAAGTAACAATGTGAATGAGATTAAGTTAAAACTGCCAAAGGCTTGATACAATTGAAACTTTCGATTACTACAATCAATTAAACTATTAACTTGTTGATATCGACAAATTACACTTGTACAGTCCTCGTTAAAAGTTGTCACTGGTAAAATAACGCGTTTCAAGGTCATTTGAAGGCATTACCATAAAAAAGTATGTGTGAAAACACCAGTATCAAGTTTTCAGGCTCGTATGTCTTTGTATTCAACTGTTAAGATAAGTTTTGTTAATTAAAGAATCTCAGTAATTGAACTTTTTAATTAAACTGCAATATTTTCTGCTTGACAGTTACTGTTGGGGATTCTCGATAAGAGAGCTCAGAATAAAAAGATCGTATCGGAACAAAATAACTTTTATTGAAACACTAATTAAAGAGACTTTAGTTGGTGGTAGTTTTAAGGATGGTTTAGGTAGAAAGCACAATGAGAGATTTTGAATAGGGTTAATTAAAGGACATAAGGGTGAAAATATTAACTATTAATGTAATGTAAAAAGGCTTTGTATTTATACATAAGGGTTTATTCCCTAGAGGAGATTGTGATGTAATCAATGGACGATGGGGTGGTCAACTAATTACGATTAAAATGAAGCTATTTCCCTAACAGTTACAACAAACTTCAAAATCTTGCCCAGGATGAATAAGCTTGGAAAATCATAAAATGACCATAAAATGACCTTGAAACTCGTTATTTCACCAGTGACCTGAATGACCTTGATCTTTTAATATGACAATCCAGTATCGCTCAAACTCATACCACTCAAGTCGCCTTCACTCTTCGTTGCTGAGATTATCTCAAAAAACATCGGCGAAAATAGCTGAATAGCCCTGTAGTTTAAAATTTCAGGTACGAGATTTTAATACTCTCATTAAAAATGAGAAGATTAAACCCTATCTATGATTTCACTGATGATCAGATTAGGATTTTAAACTGTTTAAAAGATTTACCCTTGAACTCTCTCGTTTTTAGTGTTTTTAAATTTCATTCGCGATCCCGGCCGTAGAGAAATAACAGAGGACGAAGTCAGATCGTATCTCCGTGATCAACGATACTTATGTATGGAGAAAAACGTTGCCCAGTCTGTAAGTATTGGTTATATTATCATGCAGGTCGTTTTTATCAACTAAAGCTGATTTCACTGAATATCTCAAGAGCTCACAGTCATTAGAATGTCAAACGAGACCACAGGACTGAATAGAATTGAAGTGTTTGGCCTTACGATTTTCAAGGTCCGTGAGGATGTATCCCGAAGGACACGTTGAAAAGTAATTTTACGGTCACCATGTGAAAGAACACAAGTAGTTTCGCAGAAGTCTTTGGGTTTGATGAAACTTATTCAAACAGCAGCTGAGATAGAGACTTTTCTCATGAACTTGTGTCCCGAAGTGTTTCTAGATTGAAAATGGTTATCTTATAATCCTGTCACCAAAGTGACTCTAAAATAAAATTTTAGGAATAATTTGATAACGGTTATACTCTTTCGCACGGTTACCTATCAACGTTTCCTTCGTGAAACCAATTTATTTAAGATTCAAATCGTAAACTGACTAGAGATATGATGGATGTGATAATCATTCTAGTTCATTTCAACAAAATCAAATCTGTTTATATTCAGGTAAAATATAATATTCTTCAGTTTTATTCGTGTACATACACGTCGATCTTGAAGATCTCATGTGATCTGCAATACTTTTACACGACCAGAACAGAAACAAAGGAAATGAAATGTTTAGCTTTTCTAAGAAATATATTCCATATTATGCCCTATCAGTTTCCAATATTTCTCCAATATTTGTCTCTCAGAACATTCGAAAAGCTCTGAAAAACTTTTATTCTTGTTCCATAAGATTTATAGTCGGAATCACTGTAAAGGAACTAATCACATTTTTGTAACATGATGGTTGCCAATTCAGCAATATCTAAAATCTCAAGTTTGATGCTTCATATTGATGTTCACATAAATTGGAATCTTTTTTCATATTCACTTTTTTTCTTCTTTGTTTAGCTTTTACAAGACTGATATTGAAATTATCGATCTAAGAAGCACCATGAATGAGAAAGCTACAAAAGAGAGCGATTCAATTTGTAATTTCATTGGTTATTAAATATTCCAATATGTTAAAATGTTTTAATAAAAGTTAATTGAGTTTATTTACATTTAGTTAATGACAAGAGAATGATTTTCAATTGTTATCAATACTTTTTATAAGTATTATTATTTTAGGTAGAACAACAATTCATTTGAATAAAGAGTTCGAGTTGAAAGTTTACTTTGTTATGTTTTATAATACAAATTCAGTTGGTTTCATATGAATGTTTATTTAATTGCTAATCATATTTACAGAGAAGTTAATTAGTTACATATCAGCATTTGTCAGGGTTGGAAGTGAAAAATGTCTATAAGTAATGTACTCTTCTGGAACCTCATCTTTCACTGTCCGTTTCCGTCTCTTTCGCTTTATATTGATCGAAGTCAGTAGGCCAACAAGAATTATAATGAAAACAGCACAAATAGAAACACTGACGATGATTCCAACAGTTGATATCGACATTCGAGTCTTTTCATTGGCTGCAAGCGTCCGAGCCTAAAAAGATGAGCCAAAAATTGAGATAATTTAAGATTAATTTTGTTGAATTGAAATCGAAATGTTCAAACTTGTATGGTTAAGATGACTATGAAACTTTTCATTTGGTTCTAGTTTCTTTGTGTTGATATCTAATTGAATGGTTTGAGTTCAAGTATTAGGTCAATCATGGTTATTATGGTGAACACCATGAGACATCATCAAAAGTATCATGATTAAAATTGTATATCATAATACTGTCAGGAGTAGTCGGTTAAATCTTGCTGAAAAGTAGGTTCTTATTCAGGCTCATGTAATAATAATACATGATAATAAAAACATCAACAACAAGAAATAGTGAAAAAAATGGTTTGTATAAAAAAGTGATATGATTTTTTGGAAGAAAAAAAATTGAAAAAAGTTGATGGGAGTTAAGATATTGGAGTGGGTCATTAGGTGGGTCCTATTGAGATACATTGAGCAAGTAAATTTAATGGAATTGTGGAGGGTGGGAGATTATGGTGGTGGGAGTTAAGTTATCGATGTGAAATGATGATGAGGATGAAGAAGGAGGAAGAGGATAAGAAAAATTCTTAGGCTTTTTTTATATAACATTTACTACAGAATAAGAAGTAAATAATAATAGAGATTGAATTGTAACTGCAGGCTACTTTTGGTGGGTTAATATCTTGCTTATATCCTCATCTAACAAGGAAGAGGATGAAGATAAGGATGAGGAAAGAAAAGAAAGATTTATTTTCAAAATGAGTTGAAGATTTTGAGGTTGATATTGACTTCGCAATGAGTATATTATATTGGTAAGTGAAGCATATAAATCGGACCCGAACAAACAAACATTTACTTTTATATTTGCTATACTATCTTAACAATGTTCTGAATGAAATGATTCAGATGATGAGAGTGAGTGAGAGAGATTGGTAGGTGGAGGAAGAAAAATGATGATAAAGAATAGCAAATCAAGAGAGTTACTTGATTGTCGAGAAAAAGTTTACTTTGGTTTTTTATTTTCTTGCATTTCTTTTATTCCTTCATCATCATCTTTTGCCTTCTCAGCTTATTGGAAGAGGAGGAAATTCATGGAGAAAAGGCAAAGAACAGCAAGTGAAAGGGTGGGAGGCAAAGATGAAGTCGTAACCTTTCCTGGCCCTGTTATTGTATCAACATTGACTAATGTTCAGTAAATATTATGGAAAAAGGAGAGAAAAAATTCACTCATGGAACTTTCATTTTCTCCTGGAAAAACTTTTCATATCATGGATATTAGATGAACTGATATGTTCAGATAGAGAAAAAGTTTGAACAAAAAAAATTCCAAAAACTTTTTTCTTCGCTTTAAACTGATCACATATTCACACTATTAAGATTTTTCAATATTCAAAACTTCATCACATTATCATTAGATATCATGTGTCCTTTTTTTGTGATATTTTCCAAATAAAAGTTCACTCAAGCCCTCATGTCATATTCTGTAACTACATTATTGAGATTTTGCATATTCAAAGATGAACTCTAATTGATATGAATTGTGTAATTTAAATTGATAGCAAGTATTATGGAATAATAATAAACACCTTAATTATCATGTTAATTTATATTCAAAGTTGTTAAAATACATGGTTACTATCATGAGTATTATTATCATGCATAATGTGGGTAACAACATTTAGATAATGGGTTAACATCAACTTTAATGATAATAATTTAGGGTGATGATGTTATTATGGTGAAATGTGGTTGAAATAATGATGATAATTATGATTAATTTGGATAATTGTAAAATTGTATACAGTTAATGATTAGATAATGACCAGTCCAAATAATTTGAAAACATTTTCATTATCTTTAAAAATGTAACGAGTAAAAAATCCTCTGAATTATTCTGAGTAAGTTCAGAATCTATCTCATGATAAGAATGTTATCTTGGTGAAAGATTATAAACTAATGGTGATTATTCAAGTGATGAGGATGAAAGATAAACTGAAGAAAAAAGAATAGCATCTCTTGAAAAAACCGAAATATAATCATAACAAAATGAAAGGATAAGAAAATAAAATGAGATGAGATGATGAAGATAATGATGATAAAAATTAATCCCCTTATAATCTGGTTAACTAATCATCTATCACAATTATATCTATAATATGAGATAAATATATCAACTGGAATCACGAAAGGATAAAAAGTAATCGAATCAGTTTCAATGAGAAAAATGTATATGTATTTTATAATAGAAATCATCGGAAGATGATAAGAAAAGGAAGATGATGATAATGATGACTGTAATCATGAAGATAAAGACTTTTCTTCCTAATCTTTGGTGGAGAAATATCAATGATGATGATGATGATGATGGTGATGATGATAGAGGAAGAGAAAGAGAAAGGGTAAAGAGAAACATTGAAATAGATATCTAATAGAAAGGAATCTTATCATCTTCTCCCGCATCATCATCAGAATTTATTCTCTTTTCGATTACAGGGTGAGAATCGTCATCATCATTTCTTATCATCCTCATCTTCCAAATGAACATAAACTGAGGCGAAAAAAGTGAATCAAAATACGATATCTATGAATGTACATTAATGAACGAGACCAACAAGGTTACTATTAATAGTTTCTTTAGGACGAAGACATCATGATGATCACCATGATGATGATCATCCTTATCAATGCCTTTCAATTTAAATCCACTTTGAACACAATCAATTTCAATGTTGAGCATGAAAGGGGAAGGAAAGAAGCTGAAGATGGTTCATGATGCTAAGAACTTTTTCTTCCTCAACATCATCATCTTTCTCTCGCTCCTTTGGGTTACTTTCAGATCCAATTAGATAGAGAAACAATAGGAAAGAAAGAAAAGAAAGAGCATGATAAAAGTCTTTCTCCTCATCTTTTTGAGCCTTTTACTTGTTTCCTTTTTCACTTTCACTGTGGATAATGATGATGATGAGGATGAGAAATGAAACATTTCTCTTTCTCTCTTCTTTGAGAAACCATTGAACCTTTAAACAACAATTAATCAACAGAATCACAGTTTTATCACCAACTCTCATTTTCACTCTTCATTCATTCATTAACTTGATTCAACTCTTTTTTCCCTTCTTCCCTTTCCCCCTTCTATCATCATTCTTGATAAATTATCAGCATCATCATGGAAACGTATTAATATCAATACATTTCATTTGAATTAACTATTCAGTTGATATACTAATTGTTGTGCTCCGACTGATTGTTAAAGATACATTTTGACTCGAGTTCTGATTTAATACATTGGAAATTGAATATTAATCATTTTAATTAATCCAATTGTCAATAGCATTGATGCTATTTCTTATTCTTACTTTTCATGTTTAATCTGATAATTGACTAATTGTTATTTAGCAATTAAACGATTAGTTGGATGTTCATTAGCTGATTGATTTCAATGTGTAAAAGTTAATGAATTAATATTAATGGAAATCGATGAATGTTTAATAGTAATTGTTTCCATTTAATCTAATCAATTTAACCGCAATTAAAATGGATTTTGTTGCAATCAGCTTAATGTTAAAAGTTGTTGGTGTGTATAAGTAATTAATTAATGATGATTAACTGCTGGTAAGGAGTAAATAAATCAACATCAATTGATTAATCATTTACAATGACCATCGATTTGGAAATTGATCAGAAAACAATCAATGGTCAAAGATAGAAAGAGAATTTTCTGAAAAAGTTTTCCAACTTGAAATAGTTGAGATTTAAGATTTTTTATCACATTCGAGTTAGAATTTGAACTTTCCATTTCCATTTTCTAAGTGATAATAGAGAAATTATTTATCAGTAACTAGAGATCAACCAGAGATGATCTGAAATGGATCAAACTGAATCTAAACATCGGTATTGGAGATGAAATTTGAATCAGGAACAACAACAAATCCCTATGTTAACCATTGAACTGAACAATTCTCATTGATAAGATGATAATGATTCATTCTTACCTGAATGCATTTTCGATTTGATGGTGAATACTCAGCGTAATTTATTCTTTGCTGACCCACCACGTAAGCTCGAGGTTTGCCATTGTTTTTAAGATACTTTTCGTTAGCGTGTAGGCAAACTGTGTACCAAGTTTCACTTGAAAGATTTTCAAGGGTAACGTATCGTTGCAATGGAGACAATTCTTTCGAAACAGGAACCGGAAATCTTGCTGATGTAACATGATAATCTATTGTGTAACCCGAGACAAGACTTTCATTGGTAACCTCCCAGTGAATTGTTATCCCTTGCGGATCAAGTTTGTACACCTCAAGGATTGATATGGTTGGTATGGGACAGAAATCAACTGGATGTAAACTTAAAATCATCGATGAAAACAATTTACCTGGACCAGCACATGATAAATCCTTGTCTTGATCAGCTGATCCAAGTAAACGTGAATGACTTTGTAACCATTCCCAGAGGGATAATAAACGGCAATCACAATGTAATGGATTACCTGTTGTTGGATTTGATGTGTTGATAGATTACAAAAGAAAATGAAAAGTTTTGATTAAGATTAATTATCCACCAAAGTAAAAACAGTAAACAATATGCATTGAATATCAATTATCAATCAACTTGTCAACAACAGTTGAAAAATCATAGAACGAGATTAGTTTTCTGTTTGATTTCCTTACATTTCAAAACTAATTGTCAATTATATCCAAGGAATTATCAGGAAAATCATGAAGCTAAAATCATCTACAGATGATGATGATTTATGAAGATGATTGATTAACCTGAAAAATGGTTCATTTAACTTTTTACTCTTTTCCCTACAAATTGCTGATTAAATCAAATGCTTTCACTAATTGTTTTACTCTATTTCCAGTCATAATCAATGGTAACAATTTACCAACACGATTCAACATTCTGATTAATATTTAATCTCAAAAGTTACCATTCATTTGTATGGTTACATCATTAATGTCCATTCCAAGTGTACAGTAATACCCTCAAATGATGGTAACAATAACAATCATAATAAAATAATGATGGTATTGAGTCAGTGAAGGTCATCATCATCATCAGAATGACCAGACTGTATCTGAGATTATGAATGTTACTAATAATAACAATGATGATGGTAATACTTATGGACTCATGGATTATGTTCAGTTGATAATTGAACCTCTTTAATAATAATAACATATATAAGATAAATGAATAATGAATAACTCAAGTTCATATTGGACATTTCCTTTCCCATGGTGACCTTATAATAAAGGGACAAAGGTTAGATTATAAGACTAATAATCGAGAATCTTTCTTATTATCGTCCAAATCATTATTATTACTTATGATTATTATCATTGCCAGAAAGTATTAATAATAATGAGAAATTATTATCAGTTTCATGTGAATCTTATCATGTGTTAACATGATGTCTATTTTTGTAACTGTTGAAACTCATTTCTAATCAGCTATCGATTCAATAATAATCCAATGAATTCGCTATGAATTTTGAAAATTGAAAGATTCTCTCGGTGATGAAAATTTAGAAGTTAAATTGTGATTCCAATTGGAACTAGATTAATCACTAAAAAATTGATTCTATAACAATAAAAGGAGTAAATTGTTGGGGATGTTTAATTTCACCAGAATAATAAGATTTGACTTCATGATAGTAAAGTGATGATGAGCTTGGATTTTGGAAGGAAAATTAATTTATTTTGTAGTTAAAGGGAACTGAATTAAAAACAATCAAGGTTTTCATTCATATCGTTTTTTGTGCTTCTCTTCCCATGAATCTACCATGTTAATCTATTATCTCATAATCAACAACTCACACTTCATTAAATGAACATTATCATTAATGAATGAACCATTTTCATGAGACATTCAGAAATGATGATTAACATTAACACACCATGAATACAATGGACATTGAATCGCTGAATGTGTAACATTGTCTTTGTCACTATTACAATTGACTTGAATTGTTGTTGTTGATTGTATCACAATAACAATTGCAAACTCTAATTAACATGAATGATTTATTTACTAAAATTGAATCTTATTGTTATCATTTAAACGTAACAGTAAATGTCATCATTATCAAATGAAATCAAGAGTTGAATCAAATAACACTAACAGTTGATTATGTTTTCATCTTCATCTTCATCAGTAATCATCATGAAAAACGAAACATTTTACTGATCATTATCATCTCTGTCCTGATGATTACCAACATTTGTTTAATGCTAAATTGTTTGATCAACTAAATGAAAATTAAATTCACCATTCTAATCATCTTCATCGTCCTTATTGATGCTTTTTCAATTGAATATTCACTAACAACCATTGACCACTGGGAATGCTTGTTAACACAGACACTTGAGTGTTATCATCATTTTCATCACCTCAGTCTCTTTATAAGTGTTGAGTTAATTTAGTAAAAAGTATAACATTGAAAGAGGATAAACAAACAATCTCGAGAAACAAGAGATGAAAAATAAACTGAGACAAAAAAACATTCGCATCAAGTGTAATCAAAGTTTCAAGTGATTACAATTAATTCATTTCCATGGGATAATTATTGGTAATTTTAGCTTTTTCATGTAAATCCATGATAACACTTGAATCTAAACAACCATTAAGGCAACTTGAAACACTGACATACCTTTTAAATGTATTAACAAAATTGAAATTAAGTATTAATATAAATATTAATAATGATAATCTAATGTAATCTTGGGTGTTCAGGATTAACTATTTATCTTTCAGGGTGATAATCTTTGTTGATATTTACTGTGAATAATCTTGTTGACTGAGATTGAATGAACTGATGTTACAACTTGTATTTATCTATTGATAGTTTAATTATGATGAAAGTGTAAACTTACCAGTTAGGTAGAGCTGGTCAATGGTCACTTCAATAGTTTCAAGGGGAACCACTGACATGTGAGTTAAAAAGTTATGCCTTAGGTCAAGTGTTAAAAGAGATGTTAAATTTTGGAAAGCATTGTTGGCAATCCAAGATATTGAGTTGCCCGTTAGGATTAAGGTGGTCAGTGAATCGCCCAAATGTCCGAGGGTGTCAAGGCGACTCAATCTATTATATGAAAGGTCAACTGTTTTAAGATTAGATGAGGATGAAGGTGATGGACCAAAATAAGGCAACTCAACTAGATGATTATGGGTAACATTGAGCAATTCCAGGTGAATTAAACCAGATAATCTTTCTTCAGGTAAAATTTCTAACTCATTGTAACTTAAATCGAGGTAAATCAAACCGATTAGCGGACGAAATGATCCCGGTGATATTTTACTTATATGATTTTGACTTAAAGTTAATTTAGTTATCGCTTCGAACTGAAAAATCGTGAGGCAATTATTGATAGATTGCCTGAACTTATGGTCAACTCGGTAAGAGATTCAAATGAGCCGGAGATACTTAAATCTTCACGAATCCGTAACATTGGATTACCTGTGAAATGTAATCCCTTAAGGGTAGATAATCCGGATCTTATGAAATTGTTGGGAATATATTGAAACCAATTTCCCGATAAATGAATAACTTGGAGTGATGATAAATTACTGAAAACATCAGTTGAAATATATCTCATCACATTATTAGATAAATCAAGAAACTTAAGATGTTTAAGATTAACAAGTGACCCAGGGTCAAGAGTGGAAAGTGAGTTATTGGATAGATTAAGTTTCTCAAGGTGCTGATAATGACGAAATGAGCCTGAGCCAATATGACGAAGACGATTAGAGGATAAAGATAATATCCTAAGAGAGGGAAAGGACATACCAAGTTCGGGCTTAGGAAGAAATTCAATTAGATTATAATCAAGATATAATTCACTTAATTGTGGACATGATATTGACGATGGTGGAATTGTATCTTCACTGAAAACTGAAGTCAATCCATTACCTTGAAGGAAGAGAGTGTAAAGATGAACATGATGAGGAAGACGACGAAGATACAATTTTATCATAAGAAGATATTCCAGAAAAAGAAGCATCAAAAATGGATAAACTTGATGTCGATAGGAAATGGTAGCTTTTCAAAGATGTCCCGTTATTTGATGAGATGTTCAAGTGCTTCAAGGTGGATGGAAGTGCCAATGTATCCAGTTTGTCGGATGATAAATTATTGTCACTCAGATCGAGGATTGTCAATGAGGTCAAGTAACTAAAAGTTAAAGGGTCAATTTCCTCTACCATAACATTAGACAGATAAAGTTCATCAAGATTTGAAAGATTGGTGAAAAAATGATTTCTTATAACGTACAGCTGATTGTTAGACATTGACAAATATCTTAATGACAATGACAACGAACTGAAACTTGCTGGCTCAATGTCCATCAAGTGATTACCTGATAGGTAGAGTTGTGCTAATGAGGTAACACCACGAAAAACACCTTCCGACAAGTGATTAAGATTATTGTTCTCGAGGTTCAAGTAAATCAGTTGGCTTAGAGATTCAAATGTTCCAACTTCAATTGATGAGATCTCGTTATTTTCGAGATACAACTTTTGTAACCCTGAACACGAAGCGAAAACTTGTTTAGTCAACTTTTGAATTTTATTCCAATTTAACCAAAGGATTTCGAGGCCAGACTGGCCTGTTAACGAATCATTGTGTACAGTGTAGATTGTGTTGTTATTGAGTTGAAGATATTTCAATGAGGACGGAAACTTGGATAGAGAATCAGACATTTCGATCAACTTATTACCCTGAATGTTGAGAAGTTCAAGATTAGCCAAACTCGCCAGTGCCTCATTCTCAATCACCTCAATTCGGTTGTTTTGAAGATGAAGCTCCTGAAGATTTGGGAACGAATAGAAAACACCTTTTCGAACTTTTTTCAATAAGTTCCGTTGTAATCTGAGATCACGAAGCTCTACTAGCTCCTGAAAAGTTCCTGGTTGAATATTTGCAATTAAATTGTTGTCAAGTGAAAGGGAACGAAGTTCGTGGTTGTATTTGAAAAGATTTGGGTGTATAGCTCGAAGCGAGTTGAATGAAAGATGAAGTTGATTGAGATGTTGCAGAGTATAAAGTGTACCAAATTCAATGTCAGTCAACGCGTTATTGGTTAACCAAAGCACTGAAAGGTTAGTTGAGTTCCAAAAAGTATCGTTGATTAATCGAAGCAAATTGTTTCGATTAAGATAAAGTTCCCTTAGTGAAGGTAAATTATGAAATGTTCCAAAATCGATTGAGTGAAGATGGTTATGAGAAATGTCAATCGTCTTTAGTTTAGTTAAACCTGCAAATAATTCGGAGGGAAGAAGTCGAAGCGAGTTGTGGCTTAGATCAATCGATTCAAGGTCAAGCAGAGTAAAAAATGTTCGTTCTTCAAGAAAAGTCAACTTATTGTTATAAAGAGACAGAGTTGTGAGTTTGGGCATAGTTATGAAACTTTTATCAGATAAAGTTCGAAGGGCATTTGAAGAAAGGTCAAGTGTAGTTAGTGCTGTGAGTCGGGTAAACCCATCATCGGTAATGTCGGTGATTTTGTTTCCCGAAAGTTTAAGTTCACGAAGTTTACGAAGACGACGAAGAGCCACCAAAGGGAAACCATCAATTCTATTAGATGAAAGTGTCAACTTTTCGAGAGTTGCCTCAAGGCCACCAAATGAATATTCAAGTAAAGATGAAATTCGATTACCATGAAGATTGAGAGTCTCCAGAGGAAGACCATAAGCTGTATAACTTTCAATCTCATCGATTTCATTGGCCTCAAGGTCAAGTGTTGTTAGACTTCGAAGGCCTGCTAGAGAGGATTGAGGTAACACCTTTAATTTAGAATTAACCAGAGAAAGTGACCTAAGGCAACCTGAAAGTCCATGGAAAACAGAATCAGATAAATTGGACAATGAAGTAAATGATATGTGAATCGATTCAATTGTTGAATTGGTAAATACACTTGAAGGTAGAAAGGTAATGTTTCCATTAAGATTGTAAATGGTTAATGATTTAACTGGACTGGAAAGAAGACGAAGTGTCGTTGCAATGGCCTCGATATCGGTTGATGGGCATTCGACGTAAAGTCCATCGGTAAACTGGTAACACGAACAGCCCAAAGAGGTTCCATTAGAGTCCATTAAAGGACAGAGATCACGAGTTACTTTGATTGAAGGTTTTGATGATTTGGAATCAATATCATAATTAATTGGACGAAGTGACACTGATAATGATGATGGAGATGAAGATGATTGAATTGATTCATATCGTTGCTGAGATTCATCAAGAGAAGATATTTGCAGAAATGATTTAAATGGTGATGATACAATTTCCATGGAAACAGGAAGTATAAACAGAATTGAAATGATGATCACATGATGATAGAAACTAATTAACTTGATTGGAATGTAGTTTACCTTTAGAAGTAACAATTTATCACAAAAATGTTTTTCTTTCATGTTATTATTTATACTAACAAACAATCCTTGTGACGATCACGATGAGTTTATGTTTAAACTTTTCTGATGAACAATCAACTGTTAATCTTCAAGTCATTGTTGTAATTTGTTATTAATTATGATTGGAAGTGGATCACAATCAATATAAAATAGTCACTGAACTTGGTCGAAAGTTTTGTTATGATTGAAACAATTAGTTTGATATGAGAGTTGACAATCCATATCGTTGACAAGATCTGGAATAAACAAAATGGTTTCATTAGCATTCAATAGAAATCAAAATTTTTGGCTCATCATCAGATTTGAATAATTGTCCAATATCATGATTAAATTATTGGTTGATTGGAAATGATAATGATGATGATATTGTAATCAATATGATGTTGATGTAAAAAAGTAGTTGATTCCTATCAAGATGTTCAGTTGATTCAGAATAATAATTTTTTTCCTCCCTATTGTTATCATTTTTCTGACTTTATCATGATTATAATTCAAGTTAATATCTTACAAACAACGACATTATGATGATGATAATGGTGAAAACAGAACAGACTGAATGAATAATCTTTATCATGGCTTCAAGGGAAATGAATACAGAGGAAAAGAGGAGGAGGAAAGAGGAAGAAGGAGGAAAAAATCTCCAAGTTCTTGACATGTTAATGTCACTTTGTCATGCTCTGCTTCTTTGTATTCATCAATTCTCAAGATCAATTGATGTTGTCATGATGTGTGTAAGATGAAGATGCTAAAGAAAGAAAGAGTAGAGAGAGGGGAGCTAAGAATGAGAATGTTTAAACTGATTGAATATGAGAGAGTGGGGGAGAAAAAAAATCTATCAAAGGCATAGAAAAAAGTCTTTGACATATTAAGATTGTGTGTGGGGAGGGTTGAAGGAGAGTGGGTTTGGGACAGGGTGAGAAATCATGACTTCAAATAGATGAACATGAAAAGTTTGATAATCGAGACTGGATGTTGGTGAGAAATTAGGACTGGGAGTGAGAGGAGGAAAAGTAAAGATATTCTCAAGAGTCACTTCGGATATTGAGTTTATTTCAAATTCAATCATGAAAGTGTTACATTGGAAACAATGATAACAATAGATTTTGTGATAAAAATTGAAAATGTTGGCGATAATTTGATCCTTACCATGAAAAAGTTCAATTCTAATGAATAGGCAAGGAAAATAATTTTGAATGAATACAAGATCATCTCATGAAATCACCATGAAAATTTCATAGTTTTCATCTTAGAACATGAATTCAATTTCTCAAAAACAGGTCATGATTTTCCTGTTTAGGTTCAATTTAGTTATTTAATCTACTTTAGCTCGTCAAAGTAACATTTATATTCATTAGAATTTTAATTGTTTATTGGAAATTCCAATTCTCCAATGAACCGAAATAGCTACTAAGTTCATTGAATACTTAATGAAGCAAAAATTTATTCGATTGACATCTTCTTGAGTGTCAAGATCCACATATCATTGCATCATGATGTGAATGCTCAATCTTATCATGAAACAATTGAAATTGACAAAAAATCATTGGAATTCATATCAATAGATTTACAAATTGATAACTTGAGGGCTTCATGAAATCAGAGGTTTAAAAGACTAGTTAGTATTTTTATTCCAACTGAATAGTAAATTCATATTCATTCATTTTTATTAGATATTCAATCTTAATAAAATATATGTTGCTCCAAGCAGATTATACGTTTTGACTTTGATGAATTTCAGTCTAATCCCAAAAGCTGAAACTTTAAAACGAGAACCGTTTTGTAAACGGTTAACTAACTGCTAACATGGTCAAAGACAAGTTCACTTGGAACGTGAGTTGAAATTTTAAATTTATTTTCCCTCTCAAACTAAGAAAAATGTTATGAACAAATTTCAGTCCAATCTCAAAACTGCTCAAAGGTTAACCGAGGTCATCAAGATCAATGTGAATCATTCCAATAACGATTTTTGGAAAATTATAAACATAATCTATTGGTCAGTTTGATTTTCGATCGTCTGACTCTCCGGATTTCTTCAAATTTACCATGAAGACCGTTACCTCCTTGTAATGGTATAATTCTGAATACAAGGCATGATGATGATAGATTTACTCAGAGAAAATATCTAAGGTGATATATTATACTTAAAGCATATCAATAATGCTGCTGGTCATCTATTCACCTCGAGGTGATAACTTTAAGCATTTTAACAAAATGTTCAACTTTTTCTATTCCTTGAGCCTCTGAATAGGTGTTGCAATGAATATTTGATGTGAAACTTTGAGATTATGCTGATTAACTTAAAGAGATTTATTAATACAATTAATAACAATTTTTCATGCATTTCATATAACAAATGATTAATGTTAAAATGTTAAATTGCAGAGAAGATAAAATAAGCACCAAACTCTCAGAAGTTCAATTTATCATGCATCATGAAGTTTTTTTTGCAGATTAACCGATGAACTTTTTTTTCTAAATCATAGTTTAATCCCCTTGTTTCGTGTAATATAACTGATGCATAATCGATGGTTGGAATTGGCTCAATATTTTCACAATATAAACAGTAAAGCTCATGCAAATAGCTCTTGTTTTGTTTGGTGAATTGATGGTAGGAAGAGTGCAATCGGTACGATACCTTCACCCACAGAATTTTGAACCGTTTGAGATCAGGAAAACAGAGAGTAACAATAATCATAATAAGTAATAATAAACTCTATCAAGTGGGTTGTTTGTATACACAGTAGTACGAAAACTCATTAAGCTTACCTTCAGGGTGTATTCATGGAAAGAAGAAAATAATTCAAAAACTATGGGAACAAAAAACAGAGCAGATTGTTCAGATAACTGAGGCGGAAATAATAATATCCGAAATAATAGTAAATAATGATAACACTAAATACTCACGATATGATATTGTAATAAATTTAGAGTATTTTAGTTTCGAAGGCAAAAAAAACGAAATTATCATGGTGATTATTTTTTCATTCTCTTTCCTTTTTTATCTTATTCTGAGAACAGAATCTTTAGAAATTGAGAGAGAAAATGTTTCTTTTTCTCTCTAATCAAAAATATAACCCATGATAATGATAGAGAGATGAGGCAACAATGAGTTTCCATGATAATTGAGGTGAAGAGAGATGAAAAGTTCAAAGTATTCCGAATGTTGTGAGCATTTCGAAACTCAAATGTTTTCCCTCAGATTATCAAATTATCATGATAATGTTATCTCAACCCTCTCCTACGTTTCTCCCTTCATATTCTGATGAATAATAAAATCTGATATTTAGAACTTTTTTTCTCATTCTCTTTTTTTCCCTCTCTAGAATGAATCAAAATTCAGTATCTGATGAAAACACCATCATCATGATAATTTAACGAAATGATACACTTGATGATAGTAACACAATTAAATTTAATATAATAAATATATGTGAAAAGTTCAGACTATGATACAGTTGATAAAAAAAATTGTTCACACTTTTCTCGTTCAGGGTAAATGATAATGTTAATTTAATTACCATGATAATGCTCAGAATTGAATAACAATTTAAATTATGAGAATGAATTATTGGGTGAGAGAAAAAATCATTCTAATTCATTTCAAATCATGAGTATTGAAACTTGATTAACTTTGAACGTCATTCAATTGTATTGTGATTGAAATGAAAAGTTCAAGAAAATTAAATCAACATTATATTGTTAATACATATCAATAAGAGTTTATTAAATCATGTTGGTAATATTTCATTGACTTAACAATCATTTTCTATTATTTCCATCATCATTTCCACAATTGAATTTTCTCTGGTCTTAATTAATAACAAGTTGATTGGTCGTTTAATCTAATGGCTGATTCAAGTTTTGTAATCGATTCAACCTTTGAATATAAGTATAAAGGTGAAAACTCATTCATTGATATAACATATCTGTGACTAAACTAATCATCTAGTGACTATCCATTTGCCATGTCATTTATTCATTCATGGTGTGTCTACATGAGTGTGAAGATGATAAGTTCAATTACAAGAGCCTGAATCAAGATCTGTAGATAATCTGATAGGAAAAGGAAAGTGAAGCAAAAAAAGAAGGTGAAAAAGATAAACAGGAAGAAAAAGAAAATGATTATTTCTAGTTAACATATGAAAGAAAAACCCTTTCCCTTGATTGGTAATGATGGTGGTGATTCTTCATAGTATCATGAACATCAAAATCATCATCAACTCCCAGATGAAACTGATGCCAACAACATGAAGATTAGCCATCAGGAAGAGAGAGAGAGAGAGAGAAAAAATTATTACATTGAGATGATAATAGTTACATTACATGATGAACAGAATATCATTTATTCATATGGAATGTCTTAACCTTCCCACTCCTCTTTTATCATCCTAATGGTTTTCCCACCCTCTCTCTCTCACACAGTGGTACCAATACTATAACCACCTTTCTCTCCTCCCTCTACACCTCCCACTCTGTCTTCGCTTCCAAGTTGATGATACCCATTCATACAGTTGATCATGTAATATATACGATTTTGTATCATTACGATCATGTTAATAATAATGTATCTGTATAAATCTAAGGGTGAAACTGTGTTGGTGTAGAAAAAGAGACAGAAAATTGTTAGTGATTGAAATTTTCTTCTCAATTGAAATTCTGATGAAAATCTCATTTGAAATGAAACCTCAAGCTTCATATTTTGATTATTCATTCCCAGGGAAAAGGTAAATCTACTATTAATGTCTCTACAAGATGATAATCATCATCATACTATTGATAAGATGGTAGATATGAGATTTTGATAAATGCTTAGGAAAAAATTCTGTCATGAAAATGAGATTTGCATTAAGTTCAAGTTTATCATCATAGTTATCTCAACATTTTTCATTCCCAATGACTCAACTTCCGCCCTGAGATTCCACTTTCATTCACTTTTCACACCTTCTCATGTTATCATATTCATCATTTATTAAAGAATTGAATCATCTCTCTTTAGTCAGTGGTAGAAATTATCATGGTTTCGACTTTTGCTTTATTCATTCATTTCCGTTCCTATTCAATTCTGATTCATAGAGACTCAACCTCATCATCATCATAAAATCCAGTTATTGTTCAGAGGCTCAGATTATATAAACATATCTTACACTTTGACAAAGTGAAAAATATTATCTTTTTTTATAGTATTAGAAAAAAAAGTCTCATGAAAGATCTGAAAAAAGTACAGATAATATAATGGATGTTTCAATATTCAAGGATCAGTGGATACATTTTCTGTTTTCTGTTCATTACTCAGAACGGAAATACCCTGAATATGAATATGAAAATCATTCATATTCCTCGAGAATTTTTTTCTCTCTTGTTTCTCCAACAATTTATTCACTTAGTTTCGTTTTATCATAATGTTGTGATGATGATCCTCAGATTTAGTGATACTTTTAATCATCACCATCATAATGATGACTAAAAGGAGATGCTAAATGGATGTGAAATATGAATGTTGGGTGAAAAAATATGAAGCCCGAAAGTTTAAGTGAATAAGAAATATGAAAATGATGATGATGAAGAGGATAAGATGATGAAAATGATTGCGATGAGAATGATGAAAGGATAATGATGTGTTAAACTCACCAAAAAGTATTTGAAGATGAGAATGAAAAGTTATCACCAAAGAGATGATTCAAGTTGATGGCTTAATGCAAATATGATGATCTCCATGCAAAAATATTTCAACTTGAGGGATTGATTGTTTGCTCAGTTTTTTGGTTTGATAAAAACTCGATAAATTATAAACAGAATGATGTTTATTGAACACAATTCACTTGATCACAATTAAAACAAACAAACTTTAATATTTTGTATAAAATTTTATCAATCTCGAGAAATTTTTAGATTAAGATTACTGATCTAAACGTCAATAGTAACAGAGGAGATGAAATCAGTGCACTAACAAATGTTCAAAGGTTATTGAAGGTTTTGGTGACTAAGATTAAAAAATGATTAGAAACGATAATAATTGCAACAGAGAATCAAAAAGTTCTAGTTACTATTTAAACACAGAACTGAGCTTGTCTATGTATTCACTACAAATACTGTGCGTCATGAGCTGAAGGCGATGATTCTTCAAAGGATTTATGTATACGACTCTGTATCTCCACCTATTGTTATCGAATAGTATTATTGTTGATTCGACATTTTGATACATTTTCTCTATGTAGCTTCTCTTTCGTTTTGTTAGATGACAAGAAACTTTTGCAAAATGATTGAAAAAATGCAAACATTAATCATAATAATATGTAATGCAGGGAGTTTTTATTCACTATGGGTATTTTACAAGATATTTCAAGAGCTAAAACTCATATGAATGTTTAAACTTGACTAGATTACTTAGCTATTTCTTAGTTGGGACTAATTTTTCGAATTTCAAGGCCATTACACGAAGAATATGTTTGAAGGTCGTTTCATTTCAAGGTTTTATGTAAAAGAGCATGTTTTCACCCATCATAGGATAATTATCTGTTCTTCTTTTCAGAAAAACCTTCAAATGACTACGAAATGGGTTTACCGTGTAATGACCTCAATAACCTTGAAAATTTTTACGAATTATACGAATACGAATTTGTGCAATTCTGAAATGTATCTGTACGAGATCTGATCTTTTTGGCTCACTTTTTATTGACTTATAACTGAAAAGCTGTATGAAATGAAGTTGAATACCCCTGTTGAATCATTACACTTCAGTGTTCCAATAAATTTCTAATTTTCTAATGTTTTGTTAATTTTTAATTACAGATTGATAAACAAATAGAAACACATCATCATCGACTGCATCCTCATCATAATTACCTTCATCATCTCAATTATCTGCATTATAACTAATGAAATGCATTAATTGAAAAATTAAATTGCATGTTAGTAAATTAGCGGTGGAAATATATTCCAATCTTATTATTTAACAATTAAACCCAAATAGTGATACGAAGAGACTGCAGGCTACAAAAGAGCTGGAAAATTAGTTGATGTGATCACGATTGAGATAATGTTGATGAAAACACAGTGAATGAAAGTGATAAGATCATAAGATAGGTTTATGCCTAACAGATTTAAGTAAATGAAGCTTCTCTATTATCTTCTGTAGCTAAAAAAGATAGTTTCGATCGACTTTATGATCATATACGCGTCCATAACAATCATTCACCTCGGCATTTCTCTCTCTCTCTCTTCTCTCTCTCTCTCTCTCTCTCTCTCTCTCCTTCTCTCTCTCTCTCTCTCTCTCTCTCTCTCTCTCTCTCTCTCTCTCTCTCTCTCTATCATAAATTGTTTGCAAAAAGAAAGAGAGATTATTTTAAGGTGTTTTGATTAAAAAATGACAGAAAATAGATTTGCAATATTAAATATTAAATGTTTATTTGATTACTATCACTAGTGAGAAAGTTCAACAAACGAGGTCATTTTCGTTATTCAGGGAGATGGACAGTTTTGTCTTCTTTGTGTAAATTGGTTGCTGAGCTTAGGAAAGCCGATCGACTTTAAACCATCTTCAAGAGTGTTAATTGTAAGAGGAAATAAACTTGGTTGTCGAGAGAATCCACATCACCTAAATTAAACAACAATTAAGTAAAGAAGTCAGATTTTAATCTTTGTCATTCTAAGATTGAATTCAGATACTTACTGAAATGGAAGAAATCATAAGCCGCATTACATGAGACAATTAAAGCATAGTTTTTGTAATCAGTATCTACGACCCAATATTGAGCTGATGGAGAAACTATAAAGGTGAACAATTAATAATTTGTTGATAGATTAATTGTCAAAAATGTTAACTTACGTGGAAAAAATTTAACAGCTAAAACATTGTCCTTGTCGGTTAGTTTCCCATACCAACACTGAAACCAATTCACCTTGATAATTGACTCCACTATTGTTAACAATTACATTGCCAGTTGACTCGTCAAGTTTATAATTAGTTTGGACATCATAGTCCTTTTCAAAACCACATCGGTTCGAGCGATTTCACCAGGTACCAAGGAACTAATTAACAATTTAAACATAATACATACATAAAGTTTTCCATCATTACATCACTTTTTGTCATTTTATTACAATAGACTATTTTCTTACCTTGTTGATATCAAATGGTCTATACAAAGGCACTTGTAAAGGTTTAGTCTTTGGACATTTACCTGGTGAAATGTCAGTAGCCAATGTTGCGGTAACAATGGTCAAAGTAAAAACACTGATCAGAACAAATTTCATATTTAATGAGTTTGATTCACTTGTGATTAGCAATTTCAATACAATTAGTCGACAATCCAACGATTCAATGAACTAATCAGAAACTTTCATTGTATTTATTCATTTTTCCAACATGTATCTGATTATTTATCTTTTCCATTAGATAATGAATTATATCACCTAATCAAGAAAAATCTCATGTACTAAAAATCTATTAATAGCAATTAGTTTTACGATAGTCCTCGGTATCAGATCAAATCATAGAGTCAAAAGATCAGATTTTGATATCGATTAAAGTTATATTATCAATTCCTAGAAAATTAAACAAAGACTTTTAATCAGAACAGCCGATAATTGTAATCAAAGGAAACGTTTAATCAATAACTGACTGAGATAATCAACATAATTAGATTTTATGAACGTTCATTTACTCGTTAAATAGAATCACAAGTCTTTTTATTAATCATTAATTTCTAAGAGGAGGTCAAATTAATTAGTTTGTTTAAAACCATTGCGATAATAAAATACAGTGTGATTGATAAGAGAACCAACAGTTTAATCAGCAGATCACCATATTTGTAACAATAAATGAAAATTGATTGATTCTATTCAAATGCATTGACGTATATAGGTGCGCGGAAATAAAGGAGCATCTCGAGCTCTTCAACTTTTAGGTAATATTTTAAAATGGTTGATTCTCTGTCCAAGTTTCCGTCCTCATTGAAATATCTTCATCTCAATAACAACACAATCTACACTGTAACAATGATTCGTTAACAGGCCAGTCTCGAAACTTTGGTTAAATTGAATAAAATCCAAAGTTGACTAAAAAAGTTTTCGCTTCGTGTTCAGGGCTACAAAAGTTGTATCTCGAAAATAACGAGATCTCATCAATTGAAGTTGGAACATTTGAATCTCTAAGCCAACTGATTTACATGAATCTCTAAAACAATAGCAGTATCATTATTTCATTTAGAGATGTTCCGATCTCAGATTTTCAGTTAATCGATTGATCATATATCGGATAACCGAAAATAAATAAGCATCTCCAGGATGATGGGTCTAAAACCTAAGGCTCGTATGTAGAGCTTTGCTATCTCAGATTACAATGTGAATTATTGAAAAACGTTCGAAAATGTGTTTTTCATTCTTTCCCAATTATTCTAAAACTTTAGATTCATGAGATGCTCACTAAACCTACTTTGATTAATCAACGAAACTTTTTGGAACTCAACTAGCCTTTCGATGCCTTGGTTAACCAATAAAACGTTGACTGACATTGAATTTGGAGCAATTCATATTCTGCAACATCTCAATCAACTTCATCTTTCACTCAACTCGCTTCGAGCTATACACCCAAATCTTTTCAAATACAACCACGAACTTCGTTCCCTTTCACTTGACAATTTAATTGCGAATATTCAACCAGGAACTTTTCAGGAGCTTGTAGAGCCTTTTAGTTTAAAGTTGTGACTTTGTTTTAGGCCCACAAATATACAGCCAAAGACTTTGAGTTTGCACCCACTTTTTAGATCATTCACGCAGGTAAAGATAATCAATTAGAGATAAAATTAACCCAGAGATATGATGTTAAGTTTGTCCACTAATTTAAGTAATTTAATCTTAAAATGGTCAATTGATTATATGTATCAAAAGTTATCTTTACTTGCTTATCATTAACTGCAGGAATGATTTAAAAAGTGGATGCAAACTCAAAGTCTTTAGCTGTATTTAGTTTGTTAAAATGCTTCAAGGTGGATGGAAGTGCCAATGTATCCAGTTTGTCGGATGATAAATTATTGTCACTCAGATCGAGGATTGTCAATGAGGTCAAGTAACTAAAAGTTAAAGGGTCAATTTCCTCTACCATAACATTAGACAGATAGAGTTCATCAAGATTTAAAAGATTGGTGAAAAAATGATTTCGTATAACGTACAGCTGATTGTTAGACATTGACAAATATCTTAATGACAATGACAACGAACTGAAACTTGCTGGCTCAATGTCCATCAAGTGATTACCTGATAGGTAGAGTTGTGCTAATGAGGTAACACCACGAAAAACATCTTCCGACAAGTGATTAAGATTAAAATATACAGCCAAAGACTTTATGTTTGCAATCACTTTCTAAATCATTCACGCAGTTGAATATAATCAATGAGAGATACAGTTAACCCAAAGATATGATGATCAGTCTGTCCACTAATTTAAGTGGTGTAGTCTCAAAATGGTCAACTGATTAGATATCAAAAGTTATCTTCACTTGCTCATCATTGACTGCGTAAATGATTAAGAAAGTGGTTGCAAACTCACAGTCTTTGGCTGAATTTAATAAAATTATAAAAATGTGCCGATATGAAAAATTGGTCGATCTCAACTTTCAGAAAATCAATCACCAGAAGAACCACGTGATTTTAGATAAAAATTGAAAGCTCGAATAACTGATTAATAAATTTTACTTAATTAAGAAATTAGACAGTGAAAATAGACAGTGTACATAAGAGAACGAAAATTTTCAGCCTTTTTCGACCTCGAAATGCGAATTTGTAAAATCGAAATTGATCGAATCGATCGATTAACTGAAAATCTGAGATCGGAACATCTCTAAATGAAATAATGATACTGCTATTGTTTTAGAGATTCATGTAAATCAGTTGGTTTAGAGATTCAAATGTTCCAACTTCAATTGATGAGATCTCGTTATTTTCGAGATACAACTTTTGTAACCCTGAACACGAAGCGAAAACTTGTTTAGTCAACTTTTGAATTTTATTCCAATTTAACCAAAGGATTTCGAGTCCAGACTGGCCTGTTAACGAATCATTGTGTACAGTGTAGATTGTGTTGTTATTGAGTTGAAGATATTTCAATGAGGACGGAAACTTGGATAGAGAATCAGACATTTCGATCAACTTATTACCCTGAATGTTGAGAAGTTCAAGATTAGCCAAACTCGCCAGTGCCTCATTCTCAATCACCTCAATTCGGTTGTTTTGAAGATGAAGCTCCTGAAGATTTGGGAACGAATAGAAAACACCTTTCGAACTTTTTTCAATAAGTTCCGTTGTAATCTGAGATCACGAAGCTCTACTAGCTCCTGAAAAGTTCCTGGTTGAATATTTGCAATTAAATTGTTGTCAAGTGAAAGGGAACGAAGTTCATGGTTGTATTTGAAAAGATTTGGGTGTATAGCTCGAAGCGAGTTGAATGAAAGATGAAGTTGATTGAGATGTTGCAGAGTATAAAGTGTACCAAATTCAATGTCAGTCAACGCGTTATTGGTTAACCAAAGCACTGAAAGGTTAGTTGAGTTCCAAAAAGTATCGTTGATTAATCGAAGCAAATTGTTTCGATTAAGATAAAGTTCCCTTAGTGAAGGTAAATTATGAAATGTTCCAAAATCGATTGAGTGAAGATGGTTATGAGAAATGTCAATCGTCTTTAGTTTAGTTAAACCTGCAAATAATTCGGAGGGAAGAAGTCGAAGCGAATTGTGGCTTAGATCAATCGATTCAAGATCGAGCAGAGTAAAAAATGTTCGTTCTTCAAGAAAAGTCAACTTATTGTTATAAAGAGACAGAGTTGTGAGTTTGGGCATAGTTATGAAACTTTATCAGATAAAGTTCGAAGGGCATTTGAAGAAAGGTCAAGTGTAGTTAGTGCTGTGAGTCGGTAAACCCATCATCGGTAATGTCGGTGATTTTGTTTCCGAAAGTTTAAGTTCACGAAGTTTACGAAGACGACGAAGAGCCACCAAAGGAAACCATCAATTCTATTAGATGAAAGTGTCAACTTTTCGAGAGTTGCCTCAAGGCCACCAAATGAATATTCAAGTAAAGATGAAATTGATTACCATGAAGATTGAGAGTCTCCAGAGGAAGACCATAAGCTGTATAACTTTCAATCTCATCGATTTCATTGGCCTCAAGGTCAAGTGTTGTTAGACTTCGAAGGCCTGCTAGAGAGGATTGAGGTAACACCTTTAATTTAGAATTAACCAGAGAAAGTGACCTAAGGCAACCTGAAAGTCCATGGAAAACAGAATCAGATAAATTGGACAATGAAGTAAATGATATGTGAATCGATTCAATTGTTGAATTGGTAAATACACTTGAAGGTAGAAAGGTAATGTTTCCATTAAGATTGTAAATGGTTAATGATTTAACTGGACTGGAAAGAAGACGAAGTGTCGTTGCAATGGCCTCGATATCGGTTGATGGGCATTCGACGTAAAGTCCATCGGTAAACTGGTAACACGAACAGCCCAAAGAGGTTCCATTAGAGTCCATTAAAGGACAGAGATCACGAGTTACTTTGATTGAAGGTTTTGATGATTTGGAATCAATATCATAATTAATTGGACGAAGTGACACTGATAATGATGATGGAGATGAAGATGATTGAATTGATTCATATCGTTGCTGAGATTCATCAAGAGAAGATATTTGCAGAAATGATTTAAATGGTGATGATACAATTTCCATGGAAACAGGAAGTATAAACAGAATTGAAATGATGATCACATGATGATAGAAACTAATTAACTTGATTGGAATGTAGTTTACCTTTAGAAGTAACAATTTATCACAAAAATGTTTTTCTTTCATGTTATTATTTATACTAACAAACAATCCTTGTGACGATCACGATGAGTTTATGTTTAAACTTTTCTGATGAACAATCAACTGTTAATCTTCAAGTCATTGTTGTAATTTGTTATTAATTATGATTGGAAGTGGATCACAATCAATATAAAATAGTCACTGAACTTGGTCGAAAGTTTTTGTTATGATTGAAACAATTAGTTTGATATGAGAGTTGACAATCCATATCGTTGACAAGATCTGGAATAAACAAAATGGTTTCATTAGCATTCAATAGAAATCAAAATTTTTGGCTCATCATCAGATTTGAATAATTGTCCAATATCATGATTAAATTATTGGTTGATTGGAAATGATAATGATGATGATATTGTAATCAATATGATGTTGATGTAAAAAAGTAGTTGATTCCTATCAAGATGTTCAGTTGATTCAGAATAATAATTTTTTTCCTCCCTATTGTTATCATTTTTCTGACTTTATCATGATTATAATTCAAGTTAATATCTTACAAACAACGACATTATGATGATGATAATGGTGAAAACAGAACAGACTGAATGATCTAAAAAGTGGGTGCAAACTCAAAGTCTTTGGCTGTATATTTGTGGGCCTAAAACAAAGTCACAACTTTAAACTAAAAGGCTCTACAAGCTCCTGAAAAGTTCCTGGTTGAATATTCGCAATTAAATTGTCAAGTGAAAGGGAACGAAGTTCGTGGTTGTATTTGAAAAGATTTGGGTGTATAGCTCAGCGAGTTGAATGAAAGATGAAGTTGATTGAGATGTTGCAGAGTATAAAGTGTACCAAATTCAATGTCAGTCAACGCGTTATTGGTTAACCAAAGCACTGAAAGGTTAGTTGAGTTCCAAAAAGTATCGTTGATTAATCGAAGCAAATTGTTTCGATTAAGATAAAGTTCCCTTAGTGAAGGTAAATTATGAAATGTTCCAAAATCGATTGAGTGAAGATGGTTATGAGAAATGTCAATCGTCTTTAGTTTAGTTAAACCTGCAAATAATTCGGAGGGAAGAAGTCGAAGTGAATTGTGGCTTAGATCAATCGATTCAAGATCGAGCAGAGTAAAAAATGTTCGTTCTTCAAGAAAAGTCAACTTATTGTTATAAAGAGACAGAGTTGTGAGTTTGGGCATAGTTATGAAACTTTATCAGATAAAGTTCGAAGGCATTTGAAGAAAGGTCAAGTGTAGTTAGTGCTGTGAGTCGGTAAACCCATCATCGGTAATGTCGGTGATTTTGTTTCCGAAAGTTTAAGTTCACGAAGTTTACGAAGACGACGAAGAGCCACCAAAGGAAACCATCAATTCTATTAGATGAAAGTGTCAACTTTTCGAGAGTTGCCTCAAGGCCACCAAATGAATATTCAAGTAAAGATGAAATTGATTACCATGAAGATTGAGAGTCTCCAGAGGAAGACCATAAGCTGTATAACTTTCAATCTCATCGATTTCATTGGCCTCAAGGTCAAGTGTTGTTAGACTTCGAAGGCCTGCTAGAGAGGATTGAGGTAACACCTTTAATTTAGAATTAACCAGAGAAAGTGACCTAAGGCAACCTGAAAGTCCATGGAAAACAGAATCAGATAAATTGGACAATGAAGTAAATGATATGTGAATCGATTCAATTGTTGAATTGGTAAATACACTTGAAGGTAGAAAGGTAATGTTTCCATTAAGATTGTAAATGGTTAATGATTTAACTGGACTGGAAAGAAGACGAAGTGTCGTTGCAATGGCCTCGATATCGGTTGATGGGCATTCGACGTAAAGTCCATCGGTAAACTGGTAACACGAACAGCCCAAAGAGGTTCCATTAGAGTCCATTAAAGGACAGAGATCACGAGTTACTTTGATTGAAGGTTTTGATGATTTGGAATCAATATCATAATTAATTGGACGAAGTGACACTGATAATGATGATGGAGATGAAGATGATTGAATTGATTCATATCGTTGCTGAGATTCATCAAGAGAAGATATTTGCAGAAATGATTTAAATGGTGATGATACAATTTCATGGAAACAGGAAGTATAAACAGAATTGAAATGATGATCACATGATGATAGAAACTAATTAACTTGATTGGAATGTAGTTTACCTTAGAAGTAACAATTTATCACAAAATGTTTTTCTTTCATGTTATTATTTATACTAACAAACAATCCTTGTGACGATCACGATGAGTTTATGTTTAAACTTTTCTGATGAACAATCAACTGTTAATCTTCAAGTCATTGTTGTAATTTGTTATTAATTATGATTGGAAGTGGATCACAATCAATATAAAATAGTCACTGAACTTGGTCGAAAGTTTTTGTTATGATTGAAACAATTAGTTTGATATGAGAGTTGACAATCCATATCGTTGACAAGATCTGGAATAAACAAAATGGTTTCATTAGCATTCAATAGAAATCAAAATTTTTGGCTCATCATCAGATTTGAATAATTGTCCAATATCATGATTAAATTATTGGTTGATTGAAATGATAATGATGATGATATTGTAATCAATATGATGTTGATGTAAAAAAGTAGTTGATTTCTATCAAGATGTTCAGTTGATTCAGAATAATAATTTTTTTCCTCCCTATTGTTATCATTTTTCTGACTTTATCATGATTATAATTCAAGTTAATATCTTACAAACAACGACATTATGATGATGATAATGGTGAAAACAGAACAGACTGAATGATCTAAAAAGTGGGTGCAAACTCAAAGTCTTTGGCTGTATATTTGTGGGCCTAAAACAAAGTCACAACTTTAAACTAAAAGGCTCTACAAGCTCCTGAAAAGTTCCTGGTTGAATATTCGCAATTAAATTGTCAAGTGAAAGGGAACGAAGTTCGTGGTTGTATTTGAAAAGATTTGGGTGTATAGCTCGAAGCGAGTTGAGTGAAAGATGAAGTTGATTGAGATGTTGCAGAATATGAATTGCTCCAAATTCAATGTCAGTCAACGTTTTATTGGTTAACCAAGGCATCGAAAGGCTAGTTGAGTTCCAAAAAGTTTCGTTGATTAATCAAAGTAGGTTTAGTGAGCATCTCATGAATCTAAAGTTTTAGAATAATTGGGAAAGAATGAAAAACACATTTTCGAACGTTTTTCAATAATTCACATTGTAATCTGAGATAGCAAAGCTCTACATACGAGCCTTAGGTTTTAGACCCATCATCCTGGAGATGCTTATTTATTTTCGGTTATCCGATATATGATCAATCGATTAACTGAAAATCTGAGATCGGAACATCTCTAAATGAAATAATGATACTGCTATTGTTTTAGAGATTCATGTAAATCAGTTGGCTTAGAGATTCAAATGTTCCAACTTCAATTGATGAGATCTCGTTATTTTCGAGATACAACTTTTGTAGCCCTGAACACGAAGCGAAAACTTTTTTAGTCAACTTTTGGATTTTATTCCAATTTAACCAAAGGATTTCGAGGCCAGACTGGCCTGTTAACGAATCATTGTGTACAGTGTAGATTGTGTTGTTATTGAGATGAAGATATTTCAATGAGGACGGAAACTTGGACAGAGAATCAACCATTTTAAAATATTACCTAAAAAGTTGAAGAGCTCGAGATGCTCCTTTATTTCCGCGCACCCTATACGTGATCAATGCATTTGAATAGAATCAATCAATTTTCATTTATTGTTACAAATATGGTGATCTGCTGATTAAACTGTTGGTTCTCTTATCAATCACACTGTATTTTATTATCGCAATGGTTTTAAACAAACTAATTAATTTGACCTCCTCTTAGAAATTAATGATTAATAAAAAGACTTGTGATTCTATTTAACGAGTAAATGAACGTTCATAAAATCTAATTATGTTGATTATCTCAGTCAGTTATTGATTAAACGTTTCCTTTGATTACAATTATCGGCTGTTCTGATTAAAAAGTCTTTTGTTTAATTTTCTAGGAATTGATAATATAACTTTAATCGATATCAAAATCTGATCTTTTGACTCTATGATTTGATCTGATACCGAGGACTATCGTAAAACTAATTGCTATTAATAGATTTTTAGTACATGAGATTTTTCTTGATTAGGTGATATAATTCATTATCTAATGGAAAAGATAAATAATCAGATACATGTTGGAAAAATGAATAAATACAATGAAAGTTTCTGATTAGTTCATTGAATCGTTGGATTGTCGACTAATTGTATTGAAATTGCTAATCACAAGTGAATCAAACTCATTAAATATGAAATTTGTTCTGATCAGTGTTTTTACTTTGACCATTGTTACCGCAACATTGGCTACTGACATTTCACCAGGTAAATGTCCAAAGACTAAACCTTTACAAGTGCCTTTGTATAGACCATTTGATATCAACAAGGTAAGAAAATAGTCTATTGTAATAAAATGACAAAAAGTGATGTAATGATGGAAAACTTTATGTATGTATTATGTTTAAATTGTTAATTAGTTCCTTGGTACCTGGTATGAAATCGCTCGAACCGATGTGGTCTTTGAAAAAGGACTACGATGTGTCCAAACTAATTATAAACTTGACGAGTCAACTGGCAATGTAATTGTTAACAATAGTGGAGTCAATTATCAAGGTGAATTGGTTTCCAGTGTTGGTATGGGAAAACTAACCGACAAGGACAATGTTTTAGCTGTTAAATTTTTTCCACGTAAGTTAACATTTTTGACAATTAATCTATCAACAAATTATTAATTGTTCACCTTTATAGTTTCTCCATCAGCTCAATATTGGGTCGTAGATACTGATTACAAAAACTATGCTTTAATTGTCTCATGTAATGCGGCTTATGATTTCTTCCATTTCAGTAAGTATCTGAATTCAATCTTAGAATGACAAAGATTAAAATCTGACTTCTTTTTACTTAATTGTTGTTTAATTTAGGTGATGCTTGGATTCTCTCTCGACAACCAAGTTTATTTCCTCTTACAATTAACACTCTTGAAGATGGTTTAAAGTCGATCGGCTTTCCTAAGCTCAGCAACCAATTTACACAAAGAAGACAAAACTGTCCATCTCCCTGAATAACGAAAATGACCTCGTTTGTTGAACTTTCTCACTAGTGATAGTAATCAAATAAACATTTAATATTTAATATTGCAAATCTATTTTCTGTCATTTTTTAATCAAAACACCTTAAAATAATCTCTCTTTCTTTTTGCAAACAATTTATGATAGAGAGAGAGAGAGAGAGAGAGAGAGAGAGAGAGAGAGAGAGAGAGAGAGAGAGAGAGAGAGAGAGAGAGAGAGAGAGAGAGAGAGAGAGAGAGAGAGAGAGAGAGAGAGAACAGGTGAACTACGTGAAAACAAGTTGTTGTAGTTAACAGAAGCTGTTGTTAGAATGATGGTGTTGGTAGTGATAGTGGTTTTGGTGGGATGAGTGATGGTGACGGTGGAAAGATGTTGATTAGTATTTAAGAGGAAAGGGAAAGCTAAAAAAGTAAGAGAAGAGAAATGGAAAAAGCAATAAGAAAAAAACGTTAGAAACTAATCATGATCATCATCTCTCTCTCGTACGTCGGCTAAAATAGACGGGATGAGGCGCCCGTAACGTCACTGTGACCCCCCTGGTGGGAGTTCCCCGAAACCAATATAATCTCTCTCTCTCTCTTGTTAGCCGAATGGTTAGTAGACTTGCCTACTTAAGTGTAAGCTATTTGAATGGGTTAGCACCCAGGAGAGTGACCACTTGATGTTTGATATCAGCTCTAATGTTGTAAAGAGCTTTCTCTTTCCTTTCTCTTCCACTCTATCCTCTGTCTTTCTTCTTTCCCCTACCGTCTCACTACGAAGTTTGTAATCAGATACACAATTGTAAATCTGCACATCAACGGATATCTCCTCCCCCCCACCACAAAAAGCAAAAATAAAATCTCTCTCTCTCTCTCTCTCTCTCTCTCTCTCTCTCTCTCTGGCGCAGAGGGTTGAAGCCACTGTCCTCGTTAATCGAGGTTGTAGGTTCGAGACCCGGTGATGCATTAGTCGATAATGACCCAATGAGAAAGAAAGGGCAGTACCCGTCAGCTGAAATGACTCCTGCGAGGGAGTCAGCCTCCCTAGGTAGTGATACCTAGAAGGGGTAAGACGGGGGGAGAATCAGCTCTGGGGGGAGTTAGTGACATACCCGAGCCATTTACTTGTAAAAATGAAAGATTGAGTAACAATTAAAAAGAAAAAATAGTACCGTCATAGACGACTAGTAAGGTTCGCCGGCAAAAGCGCAAGACAGCGCGGTCCGGTACCACTAGCCAACGTTGAGCAGTGCGGCACCACTCAGCGAACAGCCGTGTGGTGGAATGTCCGGAAACATATACCTAATCTCTCTCTCTCACTCACTGATCGTAATTAGTATTTAACAAACAACTAGATGAATAAAACGATTGATACATTGATGAAAAAAACTCTAATGTTTTGTTAATTTTTAATTACAGATTGATAAACAAATAGAAACACATCATCATCGACTGCATCCTCATCATAATTACCTTCATCATCTCAATTATCTGCATCATAACAAATGAAATGAATTTAAATTATTCAAATTATGGAAACAACTTGATTGCAATTAAATGAATTCTCAACAGGATCCATATTATCAATACCCGAGAATAGATGATGAGTTAATAGAGAGATAGAAAGAAAGAAGAGAGAGAGAGATTATTTTAGTCGATGAAATATAAACAAATATGGACAATGGAAAATGGAAAATGAACAACCAGTTGAAACTTCGATTGAGAATTTAAGTTGAGTTAATAATCGAGTAAGAAGAGAAAAAAAAATGTTAATGATAATAATAATTAGAAAGAACATAAAAAGTGAATATCATTGATGATGCTCGTTGACGCAGTTACGAACTAAAGTTTCTAAGTTTAGATCGAGTTCAGGTTTTTTTTTTATTTTCTCTCTTTTCAGAAACTCTCCTGTTGTTCAACAATTTAATATTTACTTTCCCTTTCAATCGTTAACTTCACTTTCATCATTCTAATCATTTCGATTTCAATTAAAAAATGAGATTAGCAAAACTACATCATCATCATTATTGTTGTTGTTACTTGATAATAATAATGATAAAGTCTCTTCATGTTATCGTATCGGAATCTTCTGGAATACATATCTGTCTCATCATATATTCTCGGGTATTGATAATATGGATCCTGTTGAGAATTCATTTAATTGCAATCAAGTTGTTTCCATAATTTGATTCATTTCATTTGTTATGATGCAGATAATTGAGATGATGATGTGTTTCTATTTGTTTATCAATCTGTAATTAAAAATTAACAAAACATTAGAGTTTTTTTCATCAATGTATCAATCGTTTTATTCATCTAGTTGTTTGTTAAATACTAATTACGATTAGTGAGAGAGAGAGAGAGAGAGAAAGATGATGATGATCATGATTAGTTTCTAACGTTTCTTTCTTATTGCTTTTTCCATTTCTCTTCTCTTACTTTTTTTAGCTTTCCCTTTCCTCTTAAATACTAATCAACATCTTTCCACCGTCACCATCACTCATCCCACCACCACCAGCGTCACTACCAACACCATCACTCTAACAACAACATTACCGCTACAACTACACTGTTAACTACTACTACAACTTATCATCTTCAATCAGAATCAATCTTCAATTCTCAGGCCATTAAAGTGCTGCAATTGTTGTTATTCAGCCTTTTTCTTGATGCAATTTCTTATTTTAACTTATAGTCTATCAGCCGTTAATTTGAAATAATAAGAGAGTAAAGAAATAGAAATAGAAAGAAAGGGAATTAAGATATGAAAGAGATGATGGAACTTGTGTTGATGTTGGATGATGATGATAAAGAAAAAGGAAAATGGGAAACGGGAAACGGGAAAAACGATCTTAGTTCTTCCGCGATCTCTTAAAATGATAAAAAATAATCATAATAATAATCTCTGCATCATGATGATTCTTATCTTTTATATGATATTGATACATAGGCATCTACAATTTTGTGAAAAAATTTCAACTCAATAATTGAATCAATCATAGTAACAAATAAAAACGTTACTTTCAGTTTTTGTGCAAGATTCTGTATTTATACAGTAAGCCCTCTGATGATGGGACTTCGTGTAAATAGCTTATTCTCACTCGTCAACAGTACAAATAGCAATTAATTTTTGAACTAATTAAGCCTATTGGTAGGGACCGTATAATCATAAAGTCCCATTTTTGGAGAGTCCCATTATCAGAGGTTTTACTGTAGTTAATAAAATAGATTTTTAACAATGATTTTACGGGATTTCATTTCGAAGCTAAATGACCTTGAGATCATATTTGAGCAGCACACGCGTGAACTAGCCTTTCTATTATTCCATCGAACAATTTATTAACTACAATTGTACAAAACTACCTTCAGATGACCTTGAAACGTGTTATTTTACCGATGATCTGAATGACCTTGATCTTTTGATATAACAATTGAGTATCGCCCAAACTCATACCACTCAAGTCTCTCTGACTCTTAGTTGCTGAGAAAATCGCAAAAAACATCGGTAAAAATAACTGAATAGCTCTGTACATGCCTGCATTCATCACCGTTCTCGAAATATCGAAAAACGAGTTTCGACGGAAATTGTGACCGAACGGGACGTTTTGACTAGAAAAAACATTATCTTTTGATGTGTTCTATCAGAATGGCCTTATTTAAGTTTTCATTAGTTGATTTTAGGTGATACATACCCTTTCATTATTTTTATGCTTTTTTAAATTATTAATACCAGTAAGCTTTTTTCTTTTATTCGATTATTAACTCAACTTCAATTCTCAATCGAAGTTTCAACTGATTGTTCATTTTCCATTTTCCATTGTCCATATTTGTTTATATTCCATCGACTCAAGTAATCTCTCTCTCTCTCCTCTTTCTTTCTCTCTCTCTATTACCTCATCATCTATTCATGGTATTGGTTATATGGATCCTGTTGATAATTCATTTAATTGCAATCAAGTTGTTTCCATAATTTGATTCATTTCATTTGTTATGATGCAGATAATTGAGATGATGATGTGTTTCTATTTGTTTATCAATCTGTAATTAAAAATTAACAAAACATTAGTTTTTTTCATCAATGTATCAAGCGTTTTATTCATCTAGTTGTCTGTTAAATACCTAATAGAATGCACACCAAATTTATCATAATGATCTGAAACTTATTTTAACTTTTAGAGACTCTAACTTTAACTAATTTGCAGAGACTATTCTAGTATTGGCCAACATCCTGGATAGGTCACTGTATCCATTTAATCAACAGTTTTACCGGAATTAGAGAGTGGTCTTTGATCTTTGAGGGCTATTTTCTCTGAAACTACAATACTTAGATATGTCTGAATAAGTCAGAACATCGTGATTTAACCGAATCATAAAGAAAAATGAATTTTTGGTCCAAAAAATCGATCACTTTCTCTATAAATAGTTTGAAAATGTTTAGTGCAATAATATTTCATTCGAACGAACATAAAACATTTGGGTGTTTTTAACTGGAGTGTAGTATAACTTTTAATTTACTTTAGTATCAGTTAGATCATCAATTTTTAGACCAAATTCTTCTGTAATATTACTCATAGAGATACACTTGCTATGTACTTGCTTCTTCACAATCACTATTCTACGTTTTATTTTCTTTACTGAATTGGGCTGTTCGTGTTACCAGTTTACCGATGGACTTTACGTCGAATGCCCATCAACCGATATCGAGGCCATTGCAACGACACTTCGTCTTCTTTCCAGTCCAGTTAAATCATTAACCATTTACAATCTTAATGGAAACATTACCTTTCTACCTTCAAGTGTATTTACCAATTCAACAATTGAATCGATTCACATATCATTTACTTCATTGTCCAATTTATCTGATTCTGTTTTCCATGGACTTTCAGGTTGCCTTAGGTCACTTTCTCTGGTTAATTCTAAATTAAAGGTGTTACCTCAATCCTCTCTAGCAGGCCTTCGAAGTCTAACAACACTTGACCTTGAGGCCAATGAAATCGATGAGATTGAAAGTTATACAGCTTATGGTCTTCCTCTGGAGACTCTCAATCTTCATGGTAATCGAATTTCATCTTTACTTGAATATTCATTTGGTGGCCTTGAGGCAACTCTCGAAAAGTTGACACTTTCATCTAATAGAATTGATGGTTTCCCTTTGGTGGCTCTTCGTCGTCTTCGTAAACTTCGTGAACTTAAACTTTCGGGAAACAAAATCACCGACATTACCGATGATGGGTTTACCCGACTCACAGCACTAACTACACTTGACCTTTCTTCAAATGCCCTTCGAACTTTATCTGATAAAAGTTTCATAACTATGCCCAAACTCACAACTCTGTCTCTTTATAACAATAAGTTGACTTTTCTTGAAGAACGAACATTTTTTACTCTGCTCGATCTTGAATCGATTGATCTAAGCCACAATTCACTTCGACTTCTTCCCTCCGAATTATTTGCAGGTTTAACTAAACTAAAGACGATTGACATTTCTCATAACCATCTTCACTCAATCGATTTTGGAACATTTCATAATTTACCTTCACTAAGGGAACTTTATCTTAATCGAAACAATTTGCTTCGATTAATCAACGATACTTTTTGGAACTCAACTAACCTTTCAGTGCTTTGGTTAACCAATAACGCGTTGACTGACATTGAATTTGGTACACTTTATACTCTGCAACATCTCAATCAACTTCATCTTTCATTCAACTCGCTGAGCTATACACCCAAATCTTTTCAAATACACGAACTTCGTTCCCTTTCACTTGACAACAATTTAATTGCAAATATTCAACCAGGAACTTTTCAGGAGCTAGTAGAGCTTCGTGATCTCAGATTACAACGGAACTTATTGAAAAAAGTTCGAAAAGGTGTTTTCTATTCGTTCCCAAATCTTCAGGAGCTTCATCTTCAAAACAACCGAATTGAGGTGATTGAGAATGAGGCACTGGCGAGTTTGGCTAATCTTGAACTTCTCAACATTCAGGGTAATAAGTTGATCGAAATGTCTGATTCTCTATCCAAGTTTCCGTCCTCATTGAAATATCTTCAACTCAATAACAACACAATCTACACTGTACACAATGATTCGTTAACAGGCCAGTCTGGCCTCGAAATCCTTTGATTAAATTGGAATAAAATTCAAAAGTTGACTAAAAAAGTTTTCGCTTCGTGTTCAGGGCTACAAAAGTTGTATCTCGAAAATAACGAGATCTCATCAATTGAAGTTGGAACATTCGAATCTCTAAGTTTAGATCGCGTTCGGGTTTCTTTATTTTCTCTCTTCACAGCTCAAACTCTCCTGTTGTTCAACAATTTAATATTTAATTTCCCTTTCAATAGTTAAATTTACTTTCGTCATTCATATCGTTTCGATTTCAATTAAAAATGAGATTAGCAAAACTACATCATCATCATGATCATTGTTGTCGTTACTTGATACTTGTTCCGAAAATGAATCGGTTAATTTAACGTAATCGCCCTGTAGAATTATTTTTGATTCTTTTGCAGTAGGAAGAGAATAATTAACTTGTTATTCTTCATTATTCGCACTCAGAGCTCTATTTTCTTCTGAGGAATTGAGATAGAATCAGAAGAGAAAGGGAGATGAAAAGAGAGAATGAATAGCAGAGAATAGTAAAATAAAAAAGAAAATGAATGATAAGACGAAGAAAAATGCGAGAAAAGAAAGACTGAAAATCCTGGGTAGAAGTAGAGCCAAATTAGAACGGTATTAAGGTCTATTTTAAAAGATCGCGGAAGAACTGAGATCGTTTTTCTCGTTTCCTATTTTCCATTTCTTTATCATCATCATCAACACAAGTTTCATTATCTCTTTCGCATCTTAATTCCCTTTCTTTCTATTTCTCTTTCTTTACTCTCTTATTATTATTTCAAATTAACGGCTGATAGACTATAAGTTAAAATAAGAAATTGCATCAAGAAAAAGGCTGAATAACAACAATTGCAGCACTTTAATGGCCTGAGAATTGAAGATTGATTCTGATTGAAGATAATAAGTTGTGGTAGTTGTAATATAGTTGTAGCGGTAATGTTGTTGTTATAATGATGGTGTTGCTAGTGACGGTGGTGGTAGTGACAGTGGTGGTGGTACGAGTGATGGTTAAGGTTATGATTAATTGCTTTGGCAAAATAACTTGTTTGTACTATGCTGAGTTCTCGATATGAGAGGAAGAAATAAATGGAAAAGTCATTGAGTGATTTGCTTTAGACTAATTACTTTTGATTTGTTGCGAACCTTTTGGTAAAAATATTGACTATTTGTTCCTTTGTTTTTATTCTGGGCCAATTATTGGTAAAAATTAGCCAATAAGGTGAAGGAGAAATATTTTGATTTTTATGTAATTGAGAAAGTAATGCTAGCCAATAGGGATTGCATAAGACGAATTGGTACAGTGATTCCTCACCACCGATATAACTTCAGCACATTGCACAAGATGGATAATTGTTACATCAGAACGTATTAACTTGAATTTGCTTTCCCTCTCTACAATGTAGAATGTACAATCACCAATGTAGCTACAACTAAAGTTGCATTGCTCAAGTTCAATAAAATCTGATCGTCCATCCATTCTGAGTTTCGGACACTTTATTGCTCAATGTTCAGTAGATTGAGTCGCTAAAGGATGACATTTTGTTGTAATTTTCAATTGATTGAACATCATTATCAATATAAGTAAATAAAAATGGATGGACTCTAATTCTTAGACATTGCTATGCGATTTTCTAATTGTGCCTCTCAAAAGTTTTGATGTTGAATGAGGAAGACGAAAGTGAAAGAGAAAGCTAAAGAAGTAAGAGAAAAGTAATGGAAAAGTAATTATGATCAAGCGTAAGAGGCTAATAATGATAATCTTTCTCTCAATAATCGTAATTTGTCGCAACCGAGCCCTTGATTAATAAAAACGATTGATACATTGATGAAAAAACTCTAATGTTTTGTTAATTTTTCATTACAGATTGATAAACAAATAGAAACACATCATCATCACTGACTGCATCCTCATCATAATTACCTTAATCATCTCGATTCTCTACATCATAACAAATAAAATGAATCAAATTATGGAAACTGTTTGATTGGTTGAGTCTAATGCTTTGTTCCTCTTTAACTACAGATTGATGAACAAAAAAACATATCATCAACTAAATCCTTATTGTCAAGCTCTTCAGGAGAAGGCAAAGGCAAGGCTTTGCAAGGGCAGATTTGAAAATTGAAAATGAAAATAACAAACATATTTTACATTTTAAGAAGCCCACTCATAAAGTGACGTTCGCAATAATCAATTGCAAAATAGCAACAATAAAAATTAGTGATAGTTTTGATAATGAGAAACCGTCATAAACATAGAATAACGACGTGAAATATTGGATTTTACCAAACAATAAATTATTATATCCCAAATTTTGCACAAAAGAATTTTCATTAACAAAATAATCGCAATCTGAAAAATTCTGCAAATACAAAATGAAAAATTTAAACATATGTATTGTTAACCTTGCTGCACTAAAAGATTTGATTTACGTTCGTGTAGTTTAGGCTGTTTAAACTAGCAAATTCTGGAAATGAATATTTGTATGATAAAATTCTTACGCAATATGTGCAGGCAAGAAAGCTCGCATTAGATAAATCAGATCATGATTATTTGTCAATACAGAAAAGAACTATGCAGCCTAGATTTTTTAATATTCAGGCATCCTGTACAAATTCCTTGGTATTTGCTCAATAGCGTAAGCTGTCTTGCTAATTTTTCAAACAGGCTTATGGATTAATAGGAATTTATAGAGTGATGAAGAGTGCTATTAGAGAAATGACATTTCCTGCATATATATTTTCACTGACAAGTGCCATATAACGAAATTATAGCGTTTGCCTGTAGCTATTGTGAAACTTCTATTATTAATATAATCTAGTCTTATTTGTATGTTAATAAACAACTTACATTAATGGTCAGTTTGAGAGACTCCGCACACACAACTAGACGGAACCAATATAATTATTTAATTAATAACTTGATTATTTTTCCGAAACTATGCCAAATTCAGTATCAATCTTCAATTCTCAGGCCATTAAAGTGCTGTAATTGTTGTTATTCAGCCTTTTTGATGCAATTTTTTATTTCTACTTATAGTCTATCAGCCCCATAATTTAACATTCATCTTGTGTGTCGCAGTTTGTGAAAGTGACGTTCGCAATATTTAATTGCAAAATAGCAACAGTAATAACAATTGCTGATAGTTTTGATGCTGAGAAACCTTTATATACGCAGAATAAAAAGTGAGTGAAGGCTTACGTGTAACGCGAAATCAACTTCCGTGCAATTTGAAATAATGCACAATCTGATTCTTCAGAGCAAATCAATATTTTGTCTGATTAAAACTTCTTTATAATGTACCGTTCGGTCAAAATTGGACATTTAAACTTGAATTGCTTTTTGATAATATTTCAAGGAAGTGCATAAATGCAGATAAAGTTTTGTACAGTTGCACGTAAATTTTTTTTATTGATAACTAATAGTAAAAGTAAATTCACACCACTCCTTTGCAAATATGCTCTTGATGTCTTCTATCGTATTCAAGAGACGCCATACCAAGCTTCAGTGTACCTAAGGTTCACTGTACCCGAAATCGCATATTATTTTTAGCCTTTCTCAACGTCTAGTGACCCATACTGGATACTTATTAATTGATAGAAGGGTAAATGGACAAGGAGCGGACTTGTGACATCGGTAAACAGATTCCATGACACTAATCTTCCCTGAATCATTTTTGAGAATTTGATCAAAAGTACACTCTGTAAAAAATGTACTTTTCGGTTGCGAGTTTTATCATCATCTAACATCAACACATTTGCCATCTCTGCTGCATCAAATTGCATAAAAAGGCTGAATAACAACAATTGCAGCACTTTAATGGCCTGAGAAAGGAAAATTAATACTGATTGAAGATGATGAGTTGTAGTAGTTTCCAGTAGCTGTAGCAGTGATGTTGTTGTTAAAGTGATGGTGTTGGTAGTGATGGTGACGGGGGAAAGATGTTGATTAGTATTTAAAAGGAAAGGAAAGGCTAATTTCACCACTCTCTAATACGGTCTAATAGAGTATTAATACAGTAATTAGTTAAAATATTGATAAGAAATTGCATCAGGAAAAAAGTTGAATAACAACAGTTGCAGCACTTGGCTTGATATCTGAAATTGATTCTGATTGAAGATAATAACTGAATAAAAATAAACCTTTCTGTCAAGTAATATACTGAAATTAGTACGTTGTATTTAAAAGCATTAGTGAGAACTTGAATGAACTAATTTTCTCTTCTCTTACTTTTCAGCTTTCTATTCCCTCTTAAATACTAATCAACATCTTTCCACCGTCACCATCACTCATCCCACCACCACCAGCGTCACTACCAACACCATCACTCTAACAACAACATGCCCGCTACAACTACTGTTAACTAATAAAACTTATTATCTTCAATCAGTATCAATCTTCAATTCTCAGGCCATTAAAGTGCTGCAATTGTTGTTATTCAGCCTTTTTCTTGATGAAATTTCTTATTTTAACTTATAGTCTATCAGTCGTTAATTAATACCAATGTCAATCATTTTTTTCAGCCAAACGTTTTCTTCTGTAATATTACTGATTGTGATATTCGCTACTTCATAATCTCCACGATCATGTTTAATTCTCGTGATTGCTAAAGAAGATAATGCGGATTGAAGCAAAAGACAGTAGTTAAGCCTTCTTGTTATTCATCCTTGCACTGGATGATGCACTTAAAGGTCCGAACGAAATCCGAAAAAGAAAAAGGATGACTTAGTGTGAGCACGAAGATGATTGACTTAGAGACTAAACTAGCTTTGGTTCGTAAATGCGTCAACAAGCATCATCAATGATATTCACTTTTTATGTTATTTCCTATTATTATTATCATTAAAAAAATTTTCTCTCCTTACGCGATTATTAACTCAACATCAATTTTCAATCGAAGTTTCAACTGATTGATCATCTTCAATTTTCCATTTTCCATTGTCCATAATTGTTTATATTCCATTGAGTAAAATAATCTCTCTCTTTACCTCATCAGTTATTAACTAGTAGCTATTTATAACATAGATCCTGTTAAGAATTCATTTAACTGCAATCAATTTGTTTCGATAACATAATAATAACATTTCCGTAATATTTAACATTTAACTACAGATGAAATCTGCAGCTCATCCAGGTGGAGGAAAGTTTTTGACTAATTGTTTAATAATTTTATTTGTATTATTGTGTTTAAAGTAAATATTTATCCACGAGAAATCCCATTAAATAGCAAAAAATTAGGGTGAAATGTGTTGATTTAAATAGCAACATTTGCATTTCTGATTTAAATAACATTATCAATTCATTTATTGTAATGTTCGGTTTAGTGAGCGAATGCTGTTGAAAAATGTAAAATTTGTATTTCCGACTTTATGCCGATATTTTGAAAAAAGTAAAATAGTTATGATCATATTTTTTTGTATTCTATACAACAACAAATCAAAACTATTACGCCGTTGAATTTAGTTATTTTCTCTTTTTTTCTATAAATCCATATCGTTTTTCTTATACCTTGTGAATATCATGCGTACCAGAATTCCTGATAACCAACGGAAGTTCATTGTATGCCACTATGGTGTAACAAGAAATGCTTCGGAAGTTCAAAGAAGATTTATTCAACAGTTTAAAGATACATCAGTGCCTACCATAACGTCAATAAACCGACTTTGGGAGAAGTTTGATAGAACTGGATCAATACACGATGATTTGTCCGGAAATGTCGGGCGCCCAGCAACTGTAGTTACACCAGACAATGTGCAAAAAGTGCAAGAGTATTTCAGAAAAAAGACAGCCAACAATCAGAAAGTGTTCAGCTGAGCTGCAAATTAATGCAACCGCTGTTTGGAAAATTTTGCATGAACAGCTCAACTTCAAAGCTTACAAAATACAAAAGGTACGCTTTTTAAACAATGATTAAAAAGAAAGACGCTTGCAGTTTGCCTAAAAAGACTTCGAAAAATTGACGTAAATGAAATAGACCCAATGAAAATATAATTTACTGATGAAAGCCATGTTTACTTACATGGGGTCGTAAATAAACAAAACTATAGAATTTATATTTTCATAATATATTAAAGAGATATAAGAGATAAAAATATTGTGCATTTTGCAAGTTGCGATTTTTCATCCATTTTGACATAATCAAGGGGCTTACGCTTCTCATTTATCAGTCCTCTGATGTTACGGTAACTAGAAAAATTATTCAAGTTGTCTTATATTATTGACTCAATTACAATGCAATCAAAGTTGCATACTTATATATCAACTAGAATAATATTTTTATTAACGCGATTATCAACTTCAATTCTCGTTCCAATCATTTCAATCCTCAATCTAGTGGGAGCGCTGAAATTTATTGACTTAGAGGCGGAACTAGCTTTACTTCGTAACTGCGTCAACGAGCATCATCAATGATATTCACTTTTTATGTTCTTTCTAATTGTTATTATCATTAACATTTTTTTTCTCTTCTTACTCGGTTATTAACTCAACTTCAATTCTCAATCAAAGTTTCAACTGATTGTTCATTTTCCATTTTCCATTGTCCATATTTGTTTATATTCCATCGACTAAAATAATTTCTCTCTCTATTTCTCCTTTTCTCTCTTTACCGCATTATCTATTCTCGGGTATTGATAACACGGATCATGTTAAGAATTCATTTAATTGCAATAAAGTTGTTTCAATAGTTTGATTCATTTTATTTGTTGTGATGCAGATAATTGATCTGATGAAGGGCATTAGGATGAGGATACACAGTCGAAGATGTGTTTCTATTTGTTTATCAATCTGTAATTAAAAATTCACAAAACAGAATTTTTTCATCAATGTATCACCACCGTCACTACTAACACCATCCCTCTAAGAACAGCATTACTACTACAACTATACTATTAACTACTACAACTTATCATCTTCAATCAGTATCAATCTTCAATTTTCAGGCTATCAAAGTGCTGCAACTGTTGTTATTCAATCTTTTTCCTGATGCAATTTTTATTAATATTTTCACTCATTACTGTATTAATACTGTATTAGAGAGTGGTGAAATTAGCCTTTCCTTTCCTCTTAAATACTAATCAACATCTTTCCACCGTCACCATCACTCATCCCACCACCACCAGCGTCACTACCAACACCATCACTCTAACAACAACATTACCGCTACAACTACACTGTTAACACTACTACAACTTATCATCTTCAATCAGTATCAATCTTCAATTCTCAGGCTATTAACAGGCTGTAATTGTTGTTATTAAGTCTTTTTTTGGTGCAATTTCTTATTTTAACTTATAGTCTATCAGCCGGTAATTTGAAATAATAATAAGAGAAAGAGAAATTGCAAAGATTTTAAAAAATTTTCTTCATCTTTTTGCCGTCATCTGGTTGCCAAAAAACACAAACACAATGTATTTAGTGTAATTTTCAGTGGAATGGTTTAATTTCCAATGAAAAGCTAGCCAACACGGTTAAAAATAGAATAAGTCATTTCCCTCATAGTCATACCCTTGACTAGTATATTTACCTCGAGAGTTATATGCATAACAAATATTATAGTTATCAAAGTTCATCACGATGAGGCTGTACTCCATTTTGTGTTCCTATTTGTTTATCAATTTTAATTAAGTTAGCAAAACATTAAGATTCTCCATAATTTAACAATCGTTTCATTCATTCTGCTGTCTGTCAAGAGTTTGAATTATTGTCCTCCTAAGGTCAAGTGTTGTAAAAAGTCGAAGGAATAGTTATGCCATTCAGCTGTAAATTTTGAAATTTTCATTGATAAATTGAATGCATATTTACATTTGTTGATTGAGCAAGAAAGGGCTCTTAGTCCTAAAAAGATAAAAAAAGAAATGGTAGAAGCGTGTCTTTTGGCATCTGTGTTAAGTTTACTCTAGGCAGGGATTCTTTTCGCTCGCTTGCTTCTTCATCTTCATTAGCAAAAGAAAAAGGAAAGGGTAAGCTCAAACGTCAAAAAATATCATCATTTTTTTTCTCTCTGCTTTCGTCCAGTGGTTAGCACCCAGAGACCGTCTCATCATTTGTCTTGCTAAATTTAAAGCTCTAAGTTCGACTTCTAACAGAGGCGAGTACTAATGCTTTGATCCTGCATTTGGGAAAGAGAAGCCTCTAGCGTGGGACTAGGCCTAAAAATAACCCTACAATCCTTCCCTCGGATCCGTTATCTATATACAGCCGATTGAATGGACTAGCTAAAATAGGTGGAATGCAGCACTATAAAAGCCGTGTATTCCCTGTATCCTCATCATAATTACCTTCATCATCTCAATTATCTGCATAATAAGAAATGAAATGAATCAAATTATGGAAACAACTTGATTGAATTCTCAACAGGATCCATATTATCAATACCAGAGAAAAGACGATGAGACAGATATGTTTCCATCCGATTTATATTACAAATCGGTTTTATTTCTATAATGAGGTGAGAGAGAGATTATTTTAGTTGATATAATAAAATACAATACATAAAAAGGAAAGCTGCAGAAGTAAAAGGAAAGAGCCTTTGGTTAACACGATGAAACTGAAACTGAAATTGTTCCAATCGAGGATTTACTAAGTAGGCTCTTCCTAGTGTAAAATTAAATAAAAAATTTTGTCTCATCACAGCGATTTTCTAGGTTTCTACATATCTTGTATTTATAAAATTGTGCAGCATATCATTTCGATTTTATTTCGTATTCATCTTGAGTCTAGAAGTAGAAATAGCTGCATTTATATATCTTTGTTGTAATATTATAAAAGATGAAAAGGAAGGCTAAAGAAGTAAAAGGAAAAAACAGCTTGTTGTTTTTCAACGATTGAGAGATGTTAATAGCTTTTAAGATTACAGATAAAGGGAAATAGCTAAAATTGAAAGAAATATTAGATACTAATCTCAATCATTGTCATCTCTCTATCAATAACCGTAATTACAGAGTAGTATTTAAATACAATGTACAATTTGTATACAAATTGATGAATAGAACAATTGATACATTGATGAAAAACTCCGATGTTTTGTGTATTTTTAATTACAGATTAATAAACAAATAGAAACGTTAACCTCGAAACTTTTAGTACAAAGTCGGCAATGGCAAAAAATATCATAACGAGGATTGATATCATATTTGCCGAATATTTTTCATATTTGCTGATCAACCGAATTGAGGTGATTGAGAATGAGGCACTGGCGAGTTTGGCTAATCTTGCACTTCTCAACATTCAGGGTAATAAGTTGATCGAAATGTCTGATTCTCTATCCAAGTTTCCGTCCTCATTGAAATATCTTCAACTCAATAACAACACAATCTACACTGTACACAATGATTCGTTAACAGGCCAGTCTGGCCTCGAAATCCTGGTTAAATGGAATAAAATTCAAAAGTTGACTAAACAAGTTTTCGCTTCGTGTTCAGGGTTACAAAAGTTGTATCTCGAAAATAATGAGATCTCATCAATTGAAGTTGGAACATTTGAATCTCTAAGCCAACTGATTTACTTGAACCTCGAGAACAATAATCTTAATCACTTGTCGGAAGGTGTTTTTCGTGGTGTCACCTCATTAGCAAAGCTCTACCTATCAGGTAATCACTTGATGGACATTGAGCCAGCAAGTTTCAGTTCGTTGTCATTGTCATTAAGATATTTGTCAATGTCTAACAATCAGCTGTACGTTATACGAAATAATTTTTTCACCAATCTTTCAAATCTTGATGAACTCTATCTGTCTAATGTTATGGTAGAGGAAATTGACCACTTTCCATACACTCTTGACCCTGGGTCACTTGTTAATCTTAAACATCTTAAGTTTCTTGATTTATCTAATAATGTGATGAGATATATTTCAACTAGTAGTTAGACAAAGACCGGTTCTGACACAAGTGTCCATACTAGCACAAAGTGTCCATACTAGCACAGGGTTTCTAGCACAAGTGTCCATACTGGACCAAACTTTTAGCGGGAAATTCAAACATTTTCTGGAAATAATACCAACATTCGATGACCTTATTTCAGGTCAATTTTTGGCGGGAAATTCAAATAGTTTCAAAAGATTCTGGAACTAATACCAACATTCGATGGCTTTATTTACGAACATAATTTCAGCGGGAAATTTTTAAATAGAACCAACATTTACTGTACTTAACTCTGAACTAACATTCAGTGAACTTCTACTCTATAAAGTGTCACTTCTGGATCAAAGTGTCCATACTAGCACAGGGATTTCTAGCACAAGTGTCCACTCTGGATCAAAGTGTCCATACTGGACCAACTTTTTACCGGGAACTTCAAATTTATTCCAAAAGATTCTAAGACATATGAGGGTATTAGGACAACTTTTGGCAGGAAATTCAAAAGTATAAAAAGAGGATGAGCATTCGATACGATGACCCCCATGAAACATAACATGATTTTACGAATCATCATTTTCATAATTATAACAGTCATTTCACTACTAATATTCCGTGCTCTATTTTTTGATAATATTAAATATGACCAAATCAATCTGGCCTGATTATCGGATCGATAATATAGTTTCAATATGGTCAATAGGACCAATAGATATCAAAGTCGATAATACAAATCGAAAGAAAAAATTCAATGCTCAAGTTATACGAACTGATAATGGTGTGCTGCTAGTTTTTGCATCAGGAAAAGTTACAGCAACTGGATTCAAAAGTCTACCCATGACAATTCTGACATTAATGGAAACGTTCCCTGATCGTGAAATAACATTCATTAGAATATCTAATATAACAGCATCAAGTTATAATTCAGTTAGATTCAATACTGAAAAACACTTATATTGTAAGAAAGATACAAGTTACGAACCTGAATTATTCCTCAATATACAAAACTCAATGGACTAACGATCATGTACTTCCATACTGGATCAATTGTAATTGTTGGAGCGAAAAGTGTCGAACAAATTGAAACTGCGATTGCGCAGTTCATGGACAGAATCAAATCACTATAAATAGAGATGATCAAGTGAATGAAAGTTCATTTGTCATTTGAACTTTGAAGAGTAAACATCAAAATGGGTTGTGTAATCTGAACATAGAATTTTAATGGTCCAATCATCTTTAAAATTTCTCGAAGTGAAAAGTGTAATCGACTGGATATACGTTATAGTTATAATAGTTCACCAACTAAATTTGGAATATCGTTAACACCATCAAATTTAAATTTGTATTTAATTTCTACAACAACAAGGACTTACGTAATGAACAAGCATTCTTCTATGACGTGCAAATCAAGAGAATCAGGGTGAGACATTAAAATAATGAAAAAGATTCGTATATTCTAACTCCAATGGACTTTTGGAGAAGTTCCACCATTTGTTCCTGCTGCTCTATTTTTGTTATCGGATCTACCGATCAAACAATTGACTTATACATATTATCTTTATTAACAACTGAAGAGAATTTATTAGAACATAAATTCACAGCAATAAGAGTAATAAAGTCGAGCCTGAAAAGTGTTATCTATCCAACCTAGGATTAGTTACTGCTGATGATTTACTCAACACTTCACTAGATCGCTGCACTCACTCGATTCGCTCAGTCCGATCCGAAACTTTTCTGCTCACTCGTCAAACTACAGTATAAATAGGGATGATCAAGTGAACACAAGTTCATTTGTCATTCAAACTTTGAACAGTCAACATGGAATATATTTGTGCTTATTTCGATACTCAAGGTATCTATGTTAATGGTACTTATCATCCACAAGAGGTTGCAATGTATGGTGATGATCATTTAATTCATGTGAAAGTCGGTAAATTTTGTGAATGTAAACCAACACCTAAAGAGGAAAAACAGATACAATACCTCGAGAAGTACCATCACGGATTAAAATATAATGGATTCACCAATGGTTTAAGTTATGATGAATTGGAAGCTTTATGTGTTACTTTTTATAGAGCTTGCAGGAACAAATCAAAATTAATTGTAGCCGTTCGATCAGTTGAAGCAGAAATTGTATTGAATAAATTCAATATCCTTCAAATTAATATCAATCAAACGTATGGTGCTTCATACAAATTAATTGACCAGTTAAAACAACCGTGCTATCTACACTCTCTTTCTAACGTGAACACAAGATGTTCACTAAATATTGTCCAATATATGAAGAAACATATGGATTATGTTAAAGAACATGGAATCGATGTTGTTGATAATTAAATTTATGTTAATCATTTTTCAAAATTTCTATTAATCATTTTTTTTCCAAAAATTCATATTCATTTTTTTTCAAAATTCATATTCATTTAATTCAAAATTCATGTTAATCTTTTTTTGTAAAATTTCTTTTTTCAAAAAATTTACGTTAATCATTTTCATTAGAAAAATTCGTAAAAAACGTTTTTTCAGATTTTTCAATAATCTACTTAAGAATAGAAAACAATAAACAATTTAAATCTTCAAAATGCAAACTTTCTCAGTTTATTTACGTCATCCATTTACAATGATGATTGCCGGTCCAACAGGTTCGGGTAAAACTTATTGGATTAAGCAATTAGTTTCAAATGTTAATAAATATTGTTACCCACCACCAGAAAAGATAACTTACTTTTACGGAGAATACCAGGAAATATTCAGTTCAATGTCGAATGTTAATTTTATTCAAGGTTTACCTGAAAATTTAATACAAAAATTTGATGGTATAAAACCAGAATGGATTATTATTGATGATTTAATGTTTGAATCAACAAATTCAAAAGTGATAAGTGAATTGTTTACTAAAGGATCTCACCATCGTAACTTATCTGTTATTTTATTAGTACAAAACTTCTTCACTCGTGGAAAAGAATCAAGAAATATATCATTAAATTCACAATATGTAGTTTATTTTAAAAATCCTCGTGATCAATCAATGATAACTAATATCGGAAGACAGATTTTACCTGGTAAAGTTAAAAAGTTACAAGATATTTATGAAGATGCAACAAGAAAACCATATTCATATTTATTTTTCGATTTAAAACCTGATACACCAATAGAAACTAGATTTCTAACAAATGTACTTGATGAAGAATCATTTATAACAGCATATTTAGTATAAGAAGTTTGATTCTTTTAGTTAATTAAAAATGACGGTTAAACGTGCACTCAAGTGTTATTCTTGCTTGCGACAGCTAGCAAAGACAAAATCACATATTCAAAGAAGAAAAATCATTTCCAATTCACCTAAATCTATTTATCCAGTAATTACCGATATTGCTAAACAAATCTTGAAAGGTGTAATACCTTTGAAACCTAAACATAAAACCCAACTCAAACGGTATAAGAAAGATTTACGTCTTCTCACTCGTAAATCTACATTGAAACAGAGACAAAATCTGATTAATCAGAAAGGTGGATTCTTACCATTATTAATTAAACCAGCATTGACACTATTAGCAACAATTTCTGCAAATAAATTGTCGAAATAATGAATACAGTAACCCGAATGTACTTAGTTTCTGAAGATCAATATAAACGTAATGTTTTGAGACCCAGTGTAACTAGACGTATGTTGAATAAAAATTTACCAACTGAAGTTAAAGTTAAATTCATCAATAACATGTTGGCAAGAACAAAAGAACATAATCTCGAACATCAAAATTATCGTGGAACTGAATTTTATAATGAAGATCAACAATCAGAACCATCAGAATTTGAAAGTGCAGTTTCACATACAAATGATCGGACTTTAATTGATACTAAATCGGAAGACGATACATTACCAATGGAAACATCAAGTCCATATCGTTTACCACCAGAACCTGTAAGAGTCTCTCCATATCCTTCAAACTCAAGAATGGATGCTAAAGACACACTGACATCATTAATCAGAGGGATCCCTGGTTTAGTTACAGATAAAGGGAAAATCACAAATGAAGCTGGAATACCTTCAAATGCTAGTAATATAGATGAAATCATCACTTACTTACGAACGGTTGGTGCAAGAACTAAATTCCCAAATGGTGCAAAAAGAGTATTAACGATGATTAGATTAAAGTATCCAGAGGCAGTTAAACTAATTAAGAACGAAAAAGCAATTGAATTTATAAATGACTTAAAATGGGAGGATCTAGTGTCGAACAAGAATTAGAAAAAATATATTATGATCCTGAATCATCTGGATCATTTGGAGGTATTAAAAAATTATATGATACTGCAAGAATTAAAATTTCCAATTTAAAATTCAATGATGTCGAATCATGGTTAAAAAACCAGGAAACATATAGTTTATTCCGTGAAAGAAAAAAACCATTCCCAAGATTACCTATTCTGGTTGATAAAGTCGATGAGCAATGGCAAGCCGATATTATGGATATGAGTAGGCTTTCAAGAGCCAACGATCAATATAAATATTTATTAGTTGTTATTGATTGTCTAAGTAGATTTGCCTGGGCAATACCTTTAAAAGATAAATCTTCAAATACAGTTATTAACGGATTCAAAGAAATATTCAAATCGAGAAAACCAGAAAAATTACAAACTGATCAAGGAAAAGAATTTGTTAATCAATATTTAAAACAATATTTACAAAAACTTAATATTAATCATTTCACATCAACTGATGATTTAATTAAATGTGCAATTGTTGAGAGATTCAATCGTACATTAAGATCCCGAATTTATCGATATTTACATTATAAAAACAAACACAAATATATTGATGTATTAAATAAAATAATCAATTCATACAATAATTCATATCATCGAACTATTAAAATGACCCCAATTCAAGCATTAACTAACCAATCCTTAGCTGTTAGTAATGTTTTCCGCGGTCAAAAGAAAAATAAAAAGAAACAAAAACCTTACCAAGTAGGAGACAGTGTCCGAATAACAAGAGCTAAAACTATTTTCGAGAAAGGTGCAACATCAACATGGAGTCGTGAAATCTATTATATAACTAAAGTCAAACATACACCTCAAGGATATGTTTATCGTCTACGTGATTATGATAATGAACCAGTTACATCGATTTTTTATCATGATGAGATCTATCCTGTGACTGAACCTGATTTATATAAGATTAATGAAGTTTTAAGAACTAGAATAAATCCACGTACTAAAAAGAAAGAATATTTCGTTTCATGGGTTGGATATCCTGATAAATTCAATTCCTGGGTTGATGCAATTGAAAATGTCGAATGAATTTGTTGTTGATGTTATTTCTAATGCCAGTATGGATATTTATAAAACAATACATTATCTCAGTTTACTAATCGATTACCTAAAAAACTTATTCTTGATGGTGAATGGTCAGTAGCTGTTCAAGAAATTATTTACCCTCTTGCACATAGAGGAAATAGAATGAATGTTAAATGGTCACTCAATTATAATGAGTCTTATTCTCAAAGATTTCCTATTCATCATACATATAATTTTGAGTATAGTGAAAGTGATAAAATTGATCGGATTATTGATAATTTCAATAAAGAAATGGAAAAAGCTTATCTTTCTGAAAATCCAAGTATAAAAGTAGGAGGTATTAATAGACCTCCGAAACTGGAATTAATTAAAGTTAATGATGATGGGAAAGAAAAAGATAAAATATTAATGAAACTTGGACGTCATGAAAAACTTTTACAACCACTTTATCCAATGTTTAATGACCAATCGTTCTTTAGACTTCTCGGTTTTGATTGGTACGTGTTCAAAAAGAGAATTCCTGAAGCTAAGAAAAATGGTTCATTTGAAATAACTGCTCCTTATCAACCTGATACTGGACCTAAAGGTCATTTAGTGTTCATTTGTACTGATATTATACATGAGCATTTAGTTGGTGATACTCATGCAAGAGTCTTGAGAGTGATACCTTTAAATAAAAATACAGGTGATACATTAGCTCACATTACATTTACAACACCATATTATTATCCAGTTAGAATGAATCAAATTGAGGAAATAAGTATAAGAATTGTCGATGAAAGTGGTGATAATATTAAATTCAAATCTGGACGTGTCTTTCTAAGTTTACATTTTAAACGAAAAGAAATTGTTTAAGAAAAAATTATTAAATAATTAAACTAAAAATGAATCGAAAAATATATTGTCCGTGTGATAGTGATTTCAGTCATCATTTCCAGCATCAAGCTGGATATGGAATATCTGATATTTCTGTCTTTAGAGGTCAACCATATCAGAGAGGATACGGAATTGGATCAGTTTTTGCACGTTATGGAGTCCCAATATTAAAATTTCTAACTAAACATCTAGTAAGAACTGGTATGAATGTTGGTGCTGATTATCTTGCTGGAAGTGACTTTAAATCTTCATTTAAGGCTCACGGTAAACAGGGTTTAAGAAATGCAGCAAAACAAGGTTTGAGTAAATTAAGTGACTTAGTTGATCAAACTGGTAGTGGTATAAGAAAGAGAAAACGACAAGTTAAAATAATCAAGAAAAAGAAACGTGATATATTCAGATAATGGAGTACTTACATGAATCATCTATGCCTGCAAGCAAATCTGAATTACAAGTATTTTCAATCCCACCAACACAAACAGCAATTGAAAGTAGTTATGAAGTTGAGTACCGTCCTAATGCAAGTCTTGAATCTAGTAATTTTTATGAAATTAATGTTCCAGCAAGTGAAGATTTTACAGATTTGGCATGTACAATGCTTCATCTTAGTGTTAAAACAGTTGCTGGTGCAGTACTTACAGAAGCAAATAAAGTTAAAGCTGTTACTAATTTTGGTAATTCGTTATTTGAACAAGTGGACTTATCTCTTGGCGCAGTCAATACTGTGCAAGCCAATAATACATACCATTACCAATCTTATTTTGAAGATTGTTTTTTCCGATTTCCCAACCCAATGGATTCCGGATTCCAAGTGTCTGAAACTAATTTACGATCATCTTTTGACTTGTATTTTCGTTTACATTCTCCATTATGTGAACAGGATAAACTTTTAATTAACGGTGTTCCGTTAACATTTAGATTCACTAAGAGTCCTGATGGATTTTCATTAATCAAATATGATTCAGCTGATACAGCTAAATATGAGATCAAATTTGAGAAATTTTCTTTACACATTAAACGTGTTAAATTATTCCCTGAAGCTCAGAAAAGTATAATTGCAGGTCTTGAAAAGGGTCCTGCAAAGTATTTCATAACAAGGAACGATACTAGAGTTTTCTCAATTCCTTCAGGTCAATCATCTGCTTCAATTGAGAATGTATATCATGGTGTTCTACCTCGTAGAATATTAATTGGTTTAGTTAAAGATGCTGCTCAAGAGGAAAGCATCTACCTTGATCCGTTTCAATTTAAACATTTCAATACGAATTTCATTTCACTTAATGTTGATGGGAATATGATTCCATCAATACCTTACTCACCTAATTTCAGTTCTAATTATTATATGAGAGAATTTATTAATTTGTACCGATTCTTCGGACAAGATGAAGGTATCCCACAACTTAATATTACATATGATGAATATGGTAAATCATCAACTTTATTTGCATTTGATCTCTCACCTGATGGATCAATTGGTGCTGAGAATGGGACATTATCTCTGATTAAAAGAGGTAATATAAGACTTGACATCAAATTCAGTGATCGATTGAAACAATCACTCAAAGTTATCGTATTTGCTCAATTCGATAATTTAATTACAATTGATAAAGACCGTAACGTAAATTTGGATTATTAAGAATGTTGACTACAAAAGATATAATTGAATTACTTACTGATGTTCCCTGGTTTGGTGGTGTTTTCCCGATCGATCGATTACCAACAAATCTCAGTAAAGATAAAGCAATCATTATCAATTTAGATGAAAGCTTTAAAGAGGGGAGTCATTGGGTCGCAGTGTATCTCGATACGAATAAAATAGTCCATTATTTTGATTCATTCGGAAGGAAACCTCAAGGGTTAATACTTACATTTATTGAGAAAATATCTGATTATTATCTATATAACCCTAATAAATATCAAGGTAACTTATCAGTTGCTTGTGGATTTTCTGTCTTCTATTTGTAATTTCAGTTTATAATCTAAATGACTTTTACAAGTTATTTCGCGGTTGTGAACATATTAATAATGAGACAAAATTGTTTCATGTATTGAAAAAATATTTAATTTTTTGAATTATCAAAATGAAAATGATTAATAAAATTTGTTTGAATAAATATATGATTTTTTGATTAAATATATGATTTGATTAAATATATGATTTGATTAAATATATGATTTGATTAAATAAGATTGTTATAAATTTTGTAATGTGCATATGGTACAGAGTTAATTTTATCAAGGTAATATCTTTTATCTTCGAACGGTGTGATCATAAGTTTTGTTTGAGATACTACTTGGATATTATGATTGGTTGATTGGATTCTTGAAGCTGTTCCATTTTCAGTTGACTCATTCATCAAACAATTCTTGAAATCATCAAAAGTTATCTTACTCAGTGAGACTCGGGGAACTCCCTTTGCTCTCTTTTTGACGTCTGATAATGTCTTTAGTGCATAAAGTTTTGGCTTAATCCCGATAAACTCTAAGATTTCATCACCAGCAACTTCATTCTTAACAAACCCAATCTTTTTCTTATTCTCGTTTGAAAAAAGATTATGTGATTGTGGATAGTTGGAGAAATCCATAAGGTGAGATAAAATTTGAAGATCATGATTCATATTATCAGTTTTGAGATGGTAGATCAAACTATCTGTGTCAGTATATAATAATGACATATTATCTCCAAAATGTGGTTTAAATTGTCCGTAATGTAGTTTGTACATTTTGAGCTTTGCCAATTCAAGGACAGTAAATCCAACGGCAATTGGTTTATCCATCTTTACTGCACTATTTTTCATTTGAAAAATAACTTTATCTTCATCCAGAATAATGAACTTTTTGACGAGATTCTTCCTCATCATCCTCTCTGCTTCAATATCTTTTAGTGCAATTTCCACTTTAAGGTGTTTCCGTTTGTCCTCAATCGTCTTACCGTAGATGGAATTTACCAGCAACTTCCAAAAGTCTTTTTCAAAGTCACTCGTTGCTCTTTGACGATTTAAAGTACAGAAATTGACATATTGTGCTAACCAGGGTGATTGATTGAATTTAATCACTCGGTGAACTTTGGTAATTTTGATTCCTAGCTCAACGTAATACTTTAGGATTGAGTAGTGCACAACATATTTGATTTTTTGTAAGAAAGTAGTTACAAGTTTAGTGGAGGAAACCAACTTGATTCCACGATTCCTCAATTCTGTGTGTAGCTCTTGTTGATAGGAGCTATACATTGTTGAATCAACTTTTCTTTTCTCTGGTATTAGAGGAAAATCTGAATGTAAGTCATGGAGGTCAGAAGGATATTCTAGATCCACTTCAAGTATGTAACCAACACTTGATACATCTGAAGTGTTCAAAATGTCCTCTAACGGTTTATCAGACCATTCATATCCATCAACCGGTAAATACTGTGACATAGCATAACCATAAAGGTTATTGACGTCCAAGTATAAAATTTTACTATTAGGTTCTTCTGGATTGTAAGCCGGTAGTTCAGGGTCGTTTGCCTTAGCATATCGTTTGCTGACCATTGTCAAACCACCTCTTATTCCCGATTCTATCATCAACAACATATCAACATCAGAAAAAATCTGAAGTTCGATAGCTGTTGTCTTTAGAGCTGCAGCCCAAGTCAAACCAGGTGAAGAGAAATGGTGAAGAGGATCAATACCAAAACTTGTAAGTGCCATTTTTCTAAAGTTCTCAAAAACTGCTGTTAATAGAACAACATCAGTCTTTAGATAAATATCGTGAAGATCTTTCAATGTTACACAGTCAAAATGAGACCAGACGTCTCTGACGTGATTATATATCTCGTCACAAATTGATGATTCCATTAGACTTGAATAAAATTGATCTCGACTTGGCAAAGAAGTTTCAGTGAATCGATCAAATGAGTCCAGGTACTCGTAAGGTAAGCATCCTTTCTTCATTAAAAGGGATAAATCGCCAGTGAACAGCTGACTGAGATAAAATAGTTTATCATCAGTTGATAAATTTGCTGACAGAGCATCCAAACTTGCTGGGAGAAAAGCAAAACTATCCATAAACTTGAAATTATCGATTATGAACCCAATAAACTTTTCAGTGGAATGAGCGATGATTTGAGGTTTATTTGTGAACATCGATGAACTCAGAGCTTTGATTATAATGTGACCGTCGAAATTTTTCAGATTATGAAATACAACCGGAATCTGACTAGGTACTTGATACTCCAAATTGCAGAGCTGATGAGCAGCACCTCGAAATTTACCGGTGAGATGATCATGGTCACGAACACTTGTATTTGTCCCTAGAGGTTTCGAACAAATATGACAGACAGTTGAATCTTTAAACTGTTTTTCTTCAGAAGAAGTTAAAGACAAAGGCTTGATATTTGAAGAAATGTGTTGACGTATCAATGGCTCTAGACTTATGAGCTTTTCTAAGAATTTAACTCCTGCATTTTCACCAAGATAGAAGTCTTTACTAATAACTTCACCATTCCAGTCGACTACTACAAGTCCGTAGCTACAAGGTACCAAATCACTGATGGTATTATTTTCACAAGTATTTTTAACATTCAATGTTTCAAAATCTGCATAAACACAGACAGGAAACTGTACCTCTTTACGGAATTGATTCCTTTTGAGTGTTGAATTACCAACATCCGGTAAGATGAGTCTTTGAGCAGTAACTTTTTGGCATTCATTTAAATGAAATGCTTGCTTTTCACTCGAACTGAATGAACAAAGACATCTTTTACAGAAAAATCTAGCTCTTTTCTCAGTGTGAGAGACTAATCGGTTGAAATTTGAGATTGTATAATAATGTTGATTGATTAGAAATAAGTCAACATGTTTTTCCTTTTCGTGATCACAGATTTGGAGTGGTACCACAGCTTTGCTATCTGGATAACAGGTATAGACATTGATTGATAGATTATTTTTGTGAGAATCTATCAATTTTATCTATAGAAACAATCCCACGAACGTCAGAGAAGTCATAATTTTCAACATACTGTGTGTAGTTGCTCGTTCTCCCACAATGTCCATTTGACTTATGGAGACCAATTAGTACCGAAAACATGAAACAGTCTGTATCAGTTTGAGGGGAGATCAAACATTTCTTGTTCCTAAGAAATAATGGAATCTGGTTGTTATTACAACCACCACGAAAAGGTTTGAATTTACCAGCAGCTAAATCAATAGACAAGATTTTGTTGACAGTCCATCCAGATCCACGCTGAGTAAATTGATCGATACGATCACATAAGAACTCATATGAATCGTTAATCAACGAATCTTTGTTCGAACCAGCTAAACAAGGGGTAAGATCAGATTCAAACCAACCTTTATCAGTCTTTTCAGTGGTTTCATTTTTGAACTGAACAATTATACCGATACTGAACTTAATTGCTCCAAATTCATCAATTAAAGTGTTGATAAGTGACCTGATATCTTCAAATTTAGTCGTCATCACTTCATTGATATCCGGTGAATCAATATCTGGTGAACGATATTGAACTAAATATCTCCTGAATGCAGAATTTATGAGTACGAATGAACCGAATCTGTCTGGTGCATTTTCAGGGTGGTGAAAAGTTATGGATAAGCCACATACTTTTAAGTGGTTATCTAAATATTTCGGTCTCGTATACGTCTTTCCGCATTTATCACACGATAAAGAGATACCAGTACCGATTTGATTATTTGGTTGAGCTCTTGATGTCGAAGGTTCTGGTTCTGGTTCTGGTTCTGGTTCTGGTTCTGGTTCTGGTTCTGGTTCTGGTTCTGGTTCTGGTTCTGGTTCTGGTTCTGGTTCTGGTTCTGGTTCTGGTTCTGGTTCAGGTTCTGGTTCTGGTTCAGGTTCAGGTTCTGGTTCTGGTTCTGATTCTGGTTCTGGTGAAAAGTGAATAGGTGAGGTACCTTGATCAACATTACCGATTCTTGGAGCAAATTGGATGACAGACGGTCTGATAACAGACAAATCCATTGGTTGCTCATCTTCTTCATCAGAAGATAAATCTATAGTTGATTGTGAAGATAGTATAATCTCTTCTGGCTCAACTCTAATTGGTGGTACAGGAAAAAGTTCTGACTCAACTCTAATTGGTGGTTCAGGAAAAAGTTCTGACTCAACTCTAATTGGTGGTTCAGGAAAAAGTTCTGGCTCAACTCTAATTGGTGGATCAGGAAAAAGTTCTGGTTGCTGTGGATCGATTTGTTCAATAGTTGGAACCATATTTCTCAAGGCTTCAGCACAAAGAGAACAGTCACTACAATTTGAACATGAAGAGCAGGAACTTGATGATGATGATTGTGTTGGTTCCAATCTAGGTCTTTTACTTGGTGGACCTTCCATGAAATCCATCATTTTACATGGATTGAAACGACAATCACATTGATGGACTAAATATGTTGGTAAGACATCATATTGTCTTTGACAACAGGGGCAAAGTATCATCTATATATAAATAAAATATTAGGTTAATACAAATGAATGAAAAAAAGAATGAAGAATGAAAAGTAGATCTCTTTTGTGAAATGATTATGGTTGTTTAATTGTGTTTTGCTAATCTATGGAAATATTCTGATTGATTCTTAAATTTGTTATATTCTTTTTCAGCTTCTAAGTGTTTTGTGAAATATGGTCCATTCATCTGTTCATTGTTTTTAATTGATTCTCGTAACCACCAATCCGACTTTAGTTTTTCTTTTTTGCTTTTTTCCAGAGAACGGTTACCACAGTGGAGATAATGAATAAGTTTACCATTATCAGAATCAGGTCTTGAACGTATATCGGCTATTCTTCTCCTTCGTCTAATCTTAGCTCTTTGATTGGCTGTTAAAGAGATTGGTCGATAACCAGAAGGAAGCGGTAGATCCATTGGTTCTAACGGATTATTCCTCCTTGTACGAGGATCAACAAGAGCACAAACACTTTCGAGGGGAATAATAATCATTGTCCTAAAGAATAATCTTAACACTAGAGATCTACTTTTCATATACTAGTCAACAAACTTACCTCAATACAATGATTTTAATTGATGGTGAAAAAAAAGTAAGAAATAATACCACGAGGTGGCGTTGATGAGTGAGTTCACAAAAAAATTACTAGAGGGCGTTGATGTTGAAAAGTTTAATAACTATCCGTCAGGTGGCACTGGTATCACGATTAAATTGTCAGTTGAGATTGAGACTCAGACGAAGTAAGGTGAAACAATGTATATAAGATTTACCTTAGACGTTCATCACTAGTTACTATCAGGGCGAAGTTGCCAAACATCAAGCATAGGACTCACTGAGGAAAATCATTGATAGTCCTCTCCTTATATACCCCAAGTGTCAAAACAAAAGTTACGTCTGAGAACATGCGTATTCAAGTTAAATGAACTGCATGATACTCTGAATGAACTTTGCATGATCATCATGAAGAGATGAGTTTTCTGAACATTTATTTGTGAACAAAATAAAAAAATTATCATCCGTTTGGAAGATAAATGATGATAAATGAAAATCACAGAAGTGCTGCCATCTTCCGGTAAGAAAATTAACCTTGTGAACTGGTGTCGTTAATTGTAGTTAATTGGGCTTAATTGTGGTTGATTGGGACTTATCAGCACTTAATTGTAGTTAATTGGGCTTAATTGTGGTTAATTGGGACTTATCAGCACTTAATTGTAGTTAATTGGGCTTAATTGTGGTTAATTGGGACTTATCAGCACTTAATTGTAGTTAATTGGGCTTAATTGTGGTTAATTGGGACTTATCAGCACTTAATTGTAGTTAATTGGGCTTAATTGTGGTTAATTGGGACTTATCAGCACTTAATTGTAGTTAATTGGGCTTAATTGTGGTTAATTGGGACTTATCAGCACTTAATTGTAGTTAATTGGGCTTAATTGTGGTTAATTGTTACCTATTAAAACTTAATTGTAAGTATATTAGACTTATCAAACGTTAATCATTATCATCCTATTCAAATATACCGCATGTAGAATATTAGTTCATACAGTCAAATATAGATGGCGACACATTTTTACCATATGTTTGTTCTCCGTAGAACATTTTGTTTACATTGAAGTTAATTCTTACCATAATTAATTCTTATTAATTGCGCAAAGTTATCACTCAATTATAATGATTAGTTCATCATCATCATCATCTCCACCACCACCACCACCACCATCATCATCATCATCATCAACTTTACCATCTGAATCTGATGAGGAGGAATTCATGAACTATCTAAGGTAGGTTAATAGTATCACAACCTCAATCAACTAATTTTATTTATCATCTCTTGTCAGAGATTTTCTCAATCAAAGAGGTCCTCTCAATCATAAGATCGATTTAATATTTTCGTTAATTGAGAGGGTCCCAAGTCTGACTGAGAGAAAGAAGTATATTGTGCGAAGGATTTGCAAGTATGCTCTCAATCGTTTAATCACAGCAAGAGCAACTACAATAACCAGGAATCTCAATTCCAAGATTGATGAATTGGTTGATCAATGTAAAGCCATTGATGAGCAGTTCAATGCTGAGGCGAAGAGGAACATTCAGTTGTTCCAAGAAAATTGGCTTTTAAAAACATCTTTACAAATTTCAGAGGGTGAAGATGGAGCCGCCGAAATCTCATTTATTGATTGGATTTTCAGGAAAATGGGCTCTGAATTAGGCATCAAACAACAATGGTTCCATCAGGATGGTCGAGGCCGAGGCCTTTAAATCATTATTTAGATACACTAGAAATTATCATTTCATTAAAAAAAAGTCATTCATTCAATTATATATACAGGTATTTACATTTACTTTCAAATTTCGCGCCAAAAAAAATCACCAAAAAATTTGGTCCAGAGTGGACACTTTGGCCCAGAAAGTTTGGTCCAGAATGGACGCTTTGGTCCAGAGTGGAAGCTTTGGCCTAGAGTGGGTGCTTGGCCCAGAGATGGTATTTAGTTAACTACTTCAACTGATGTTTTCAGTACCCAATCAACAGAAGAGAGTCAAAAAAGAGTCAAAAAGTAGGTTCTTTTGGCCATTTTGACTCAATTTTGAGTCAAAATTTTTGATTTAAATTGAGTCAATTTTGACTGCGATTGAGTCAAAAATGAAAAGTTTTAGACATGCAAATTGCTCAAAAAAGAGTCACAATTGATTCAAAGGTTTGTCAAAATCGATCAATTTTGACTAATTTTCATTCAACTGTAAGCAAAGAAACAAATGATTCTTGATCTTACTAAGAGATTGGTCTAAATTCTGGACTCTCAAAATCATATTTCATTTTTTTATTGTTATCTAAGAATTAATGAGGAAATTGGATAATAGATTTTAATTTTAGTTTTATTCTAGATTTTATTCTAGTAATCAGAAATTATTTCATCGAATTTATACAATCAAATATTTTAGTAATTCAAGAATCAATTATTTTATTAGTAGATTGATCATTTATTTCAGAATCATAAGTCTTTCATGGATTCTTGTTACACAAGATCATCGAAACATTCAATATCGAATACTTGAATCAGTCGGTTCTTCAGTTTCATTTAAGCTATGCGAATCTGCATTTTCCCAAGGATCGTCTTGTGTATGATCTTCTTCTTCTGATCTTTTTCTTTTCTGAGATAAACGATTCAATGAACATAACTCTTTCATAACCCTTCTTCGAACTTTTTTCTCAGCATCCTTGGAATATGAAAAGATATTCGATTTTCGAAATGTATGATCTGTGAAGAAACATTTAAATCAATTAGTATTGTTGAAAAAATGATCCATATTACAATTAATTATAAGTAAGATAACTTACTGAAAAAAGCTCTCAATCTTTCATGACCGATTTTTACATCGAATGATCCTTGCATTCTAGATCCATACGGATCTGGAAAGCTCCATATGAAAGACAAAGGATATTTAGCAATACATGACAATTTATGAGCTCTTTCAAATTCATCAAAATCTTTCTTATCGTAAATTTTTTTTCCAAGAACCACATCATCAATATAAGATCGAGGAAAACTGAATTTCACCAACGCATAAGCAAATGATTCTGGATTGGATGACTTCGCTTGTTTAATTGCAGCCTCGTAAAGGTCCAAATCTAACTGAATCAAACCTTCGATGAAGATCTGATTCTAATTTAATAGAAAGAAGAAGATACTCGGAGATTAATTTTCGTGTTTCAAGCCAAAAGCTGCAAAGGTTCACCTTAACACTTAATTTGTATGTAGAATCAATTTCAGGAACAGAATATGAAAGTTCCTTTTCATTCTCTTTCTTAAGATCGATTATCTTTCAAAATTATCGAGAACATTAATGATTGAAATCAGAATAGATCCTGTGGTGTCAAGGTTTGAAAGGACAGATGATCTTTCACTCAGTTCTTGAACTTGGTTGTTTATCTTTTCCATCGTAGTTTCAATAAATGATTGATCAAGATTACTTTCAGATCTCTTCTTGACAATTGTTGATTCACGGACGATGTTTCTTTTGTCATTCACTTTTATCGGAGATTTTTGAGATCTTTGATCTTTAATTACGGACTTCGAGTTGATGATAGAGTTCTCATCATTAGCACTTCTTTCGTTCGGTTCCAGTGAGCTTTGAGCGGATTCGATGATTGAAAGATCACATATGAACATTTTTTCATACTCAGACGTTGACAAAACTCGAAAAGGGGGAACATCTGAAACATCATCCAGTGGAACATGAGAGAATTGAATAACTTGATTCCGTATTTTTTTCATCTTTGGTAACCCTTTCCATGAACTGTTTTCATTTATGTTCTTTTGTAAACAGATTTTAAGAGCCAACGGAGTTTCTGAATATCAAAAATTCAATGTTATTTTTGAAAAGAACAACAAATTATGTTAGTACTAACCTCCTAGAGCAATGAATGATCCACGAAAAAGTAAATTGTTTACATCAAATTTGAAACAGTTGACTTTAGAATCGAGAAAACTTGAAAATGGAAGATCAATTTTAGATTCAGTGAAATTTTTAGTATCGACTTTCATCAAGATCGGCTGCTTCTGTTTAATTTCGTCACAAATAATGAAAGGAACAATGGCGTAAATAAGATCGAGCTCAAGTTGTTTTGTCAGATTAACAGATCTTTTAACACTTAGACCTTTTCTTCCAGGATCTGAAATTTGAGTCGTAAGAGTTGAGTTTATCGTTGATCCCAAAGTTAGTGGTGGATCCAAGACTTTTGTTGATCTGTTGATCTTTGATGGCGCTTGAAATTCCCAAACACTTTCACTTGTTGTTTGTTTTAGGTAAACCAACGGCTATTTTGACTTTTCATAGTTGAAAGACTTTTTCTTTGAGATTGAATTTCACTGGTTATTATCATCGAAATAGAAACACTTTGATCACAAATTGTAGAAAGATTGACTCAAATAACAAGTATCATTGTATTTATATCAAAAACTTGATTGCGAAAATGAATGGAATTTTAATCTGATTGGGTTTGATTGCGGTTAGATTGAGGTACATATTTTTGAAGAAAAAAGAAAATAGTTCGAGGGGAAAAAACTTTTGGATCTAATTTTTGGACCAATGAAAAATTGAAAAGAAAAAAGATCCTCTATGTTGAACATTGGATACAAATTAGTCTAATTAAATCAGAAAAATTTGAGGAAATTGAACAACCAATAGAGGATCATTTAGGTAGTTTTCTACCTATCAAAAATTTAGAAAATTGAAAAAAGATGTTTGAAAAAATTGAAAAATTGAAAATAGAAATTTGATTAAATTGAGGTATGTAAAAATAGAAATACCGAATTGTTGATCAGATTTGTTGATTTTTCTGAGCAGCAACAATTTGCGCAAGAATTTCCGCGTTCGCTGGATCGGTCAAGAAAGCCAATGTTCGAGGATCAATGATTTTTTAGCGCTACCAGTCGAAGAAGATGATTTGTTGAACAATTTGATTCTTCATCACCAGCACTTTGTATTTCAGATTGAGGACAAGACTTGAGCTTTTCAATTCCGGTTGAGTGGTATTTGATACTTTTCGCTTGCTTGAAGAAGTAGGAATGGATTGAGTCATTGGTAGAAGACCAGCTTGAGATTCCGAAGCAACACTAGTGTGAATACTAGAATTAGTTTCAATTCCAGACTCAGATGATTCATCGAATGATCTAAGATTCTCGTTAGCTGATTTATTCACATCTTTATCCTTGATGATTGTTGGTGTTTGGATCGGAGTACTTGTTCTAAAAGGTTCTGGCATTTGTTGATTTCCGTAGCCTTCTTTGATTTCATGAGAAGATTGATTCATATTCTTGTCGGAATCTTGATCAACACTAGAACTAAACAATTGATTTGGAGGAGATGATTCCAAGTAGTTGATCTCTTCACCATTTTTATCTTCACCCTGAATATCACTAAGAATATCGTCATCATCGTCAAATTCAAAGTTATCATCATCAATTGATTTTTGATCATTTTTAGGTGAAGATGGTTGTGAGTCCATGTTAGGTATTTCCGCTTTCTCAGGCTCCACAATTTCTTGGTTATCATTTTCAACTGCGTTTTTAGATCTTTGCGAAGAAGAAAGACATTCAGACTTTTCATTTCCAGCATCTTTTTCATTGTCAGAACCTTTACCATCACCTGAATGTTGATCCTGGATCTCTGATGACTTTTCTTGATGTTGATCTATTGCATTTTGATCATAAGAGTCGATTCCCTGCACGATTTGATCCTCTTTTGGCAATGGTGATCCTACAGTCATAGTAACAACAGGCATAATGATCCCTGATCTTCTTGTTACTCTGGATGTTTGAGAAACTGGACTTTTCGTGACTCTAGATCTTCGATTCTTTGGTGGAAGAATGATAGGATCATCATCAGAATCTTTTTCACTTTCATAATGATCAAACTCATCGTCGGATGAGTCATTCTCAATATTATCCCAGCCTCTTGATGCATAAATCTTGGTTCTTTTGTAATGAATCGCTTTTGATAAGACTGTACTTAGATGCTTTTCAGTTCCAATATCGTACGATTTTTTCCCACATTTTCTCAATGTGTGATCAATGAAAGCTTGATATCGTGAATGGCCAAGTTGTTTATCCACAGATTTTTGTGATTCATTTGAGTTTACACTCAAAGGATCTTGTCTACTCCAGATTTCCAATAAAGATGTTCTTCCACCGGATCCTTTAATAGTCACTCCCGTGATCCAATGATCTGGAAAGCATATCTTTGCCAGAGCTGTGATCACTTGTGAAGGTTCACGTTCATGGAACTCACTTAGTAAAGAAGCTATGGCTTTCTTGTACTTTGATGTTTTCACAGGTAGAATACCTTCAATAAAGGTAACATTTTCTTTAACTTCAGTCTTGTCATCTTCACTGATGATTCTAAGATCACAAGAGATTGAATCTCCAACATTTTCAACAGCTTTCGAAAAAGATCTTTCAATATTTTCTATGATCTCAATTAATTGATTCTGTATTTGAGCCAATTCATTGAAAAGATTTTTTAGTGGATTATTGATTGGAACAGTCTTAGCTGTTTCAGAATATTTTCTAATATTTTCTTTCGCTCTATCTATCAATTCTTTGATAGAATCTTGATCTTGGCTTGAATGAATCTGTTGATCCTTAGAGCTGAACACCTTTGAAGATCCTGGATTTTCTTTGGTGATCGAAGTACTTGGAATATTACAAGCTGATGAACTATCATCGGAAATTGTCAACACTTCGGACGTTTGTGGTGTAACTTTAGACTCAAGTTTGCTCATTGTTTCAACGTGATCGATAAAGCTTTGAAATTCTTTCG